CCTTTTTTGCAACTGTATTTCTTTTGTTAATTCTCCATTGATTTTTACTTTAGCACTTTGTTGTGTATAAATGGCTCTTATTAGTTTTATAAATCTTTCCCCAGCTTCTATTACTTTTAAATATTGTAGCATGAAGTTCCAATTAACATTGTCGAAAGCTTTCTCCGTGTCAAGGAAGATCATAGCTATTTGTTTTTCCATATGTGTTTCATAGTATTCTAAGGTGTTTTAATATTATTCTTATATTGTTTCTCATCTGTCTTTTTGGTAAAAAAAAACAACAACAACAACCCTGATTGATCTTGGTGGATTATTTGGATTAAGTTCTTTTTCAACCTGGTTGCCAAAATTGTTGCGTATATTTTATAATCTACATTTAGAAGTGAGATCGGTCTGTAATTGTTTATTTTTTTGCATATGTTTTTTCTTTATGTCTCAGAATAATCAATGCCTCTGTCCATGTTGAAGGTATTTCTTCCTTTTCTTCAATATATTCCAATAGTCTCTTACATGGTTTTAGTAATATAGCTTCTAGTGATTTGTACTATTATGCTGGCAGTCCACCTGGAGCAGGTGTCTTCCCTGTTTTTTTTGTTTTTTAAAGGTTTCGACAGTCTCCCTAGATGACAGTGGTTCATTCAATAACTGAATTTGTTCTTTTGTTAACCTCATTTTACTGTGTTTTCTCAGGTATTTTTCCTCTAGATCTTTAGCTATTTCTTTTTCGGTTTATAAATTTTCATAGAAATGTTCTATAATTTTTTTACTTTCCTCCTGCTGTGATTTTTCTATTCCTGCATCATCTTTCAAGGTTTGTATTATTGATTTTTCTTTCTTTTCTTAATTTACAAGCCAACCATCTCCCCAGTTTATTTGGGGTTTTTTAAAAAAAAATTTCACACTTTTTATCTTCCTTGATAACTCTTCTGTGTATAAAACATTCAGTTGATGATGTACTAATTTTATTTTCGTTTTCAGCTGTGTCAATGTTGGATTTTGTTTTAATTGTGTTTCAGATACCTTCAGAGAATCTTCCAAATCTTTATATTTTCTTTCTCTTTCTCTTCTTTGTTTTACTGTATATCTAATTGCCAATTCTTGGAAGTAGGCCTTCCCTGCCTCCCATACCATATGTATTGGAATATATTGGTGTTTCTTCTATCATATTTTGTCGAAAGAACCAATCCATTTCTTCTTTTGTATGTTTCATAAAATCTTCATTTTTCAAGAGAGATGTATTGAGTCTCCATTGGAAGGGTTTTGCTCTTGTTTCCAATTGTAATAACACAGGGCTGTGATCTGCAAAAGTATTGGGTAGAATTTCTATCTCGAGAACCTCTTTCATCAAAGTTGAGGATATCCAGCAGGCATCTATACTTGACCATGATTTATGGCTATTTGAGTAGACGGTATAGTCTCTTGTCATTGGGTATCTTGTTCTCCAAGGTCTATCAAGTTTAGTTCTTCCACCATTTGTAAAATTTTGGGGGAGATTTTCGTTTTTCTTTTCTTTTTCGTTGCTTTTTCTGATTTTGTGTCTAAGTCATTATCAAAAACCGCATTGAAGTCTCCCCTCACACAGTATTCCTCATCATTTCTATTTATCAAGATCCGTCAAAGTTCCTTAAGAAATTATGTTGATTTCTATTGGGTGCATACAAGTTTATAATCAGCGATTTCTTTGTTTCTCTCTGAATTTCTACCATTCATATTCTTCCATCTCCTGAGGAGAATACACATTTTGGATGCAGCTCTTTTCTTACAAATGTAGCTACTCCTCTTTTTTTCTTTTTATCTGCTGCTACAAATAATTTCCCTTGTTTTAGACATTTTACTAAATGTCTACCTATCTTCCTCAAGTGTGTTTCTTCTAGACAGATAATGTCTAGTTTTTGTTTTTGCAGTTGTAAAAATATTCTTTTTCGCTTCTGAGGTGAATTTAATCCATTTACATTAACTGAGATAATTTTAAATTGTTTTTTCTTCCTTTTATCCACCTTTATTTTTTTCCTAGTGCTCCTCGTTTCCATAAGTCGAGGCACCACCGTACCTTTGAGATTCAAATTGGAAAGAGAGACCTTCAGAAGTTAGCCATCTATATATAATTCAGTTTTTTTCTCAGTAATAACATAAAGAAATGCATATTTCTGTCTCAGTTGCCTCATTTTCCATGACACTTGTTTGAGAACCTTTATTTCTTTGTCTTTTAAATTTTATTTATTTATTTATTTGACTTGTATGCCACCCGAATTCTGCAAGAGTCTCAACATGAGCTGCGTCTCTTGTGTCATTTTAAAAACTTTGTCTCTAATTGATCTCATTGTAAATTTAACATGTATCTCCCTCGGGAGTTTATTTCTTCTGGCAAAAGAGGAATTTACTCCAAATGCTTTATCAATAAATTGTTGAAAATATTATTTTCCATTTGTAATTCATGTGCCAGCACAGGGCTAAGTAGCTCAACTAAGTCTTCTTGTTATTTATCCTGTTGCTCTTCCTCCCCTTGGAAAGATAATATATAAGCTGCTCTCTCCATCTCCAATGTTATGAGTCTTTTTTGATCTAGTCTTGCACTTTTGGGACCACTTCCAGTTGTTGTTCCATCTTATCTACTTTTATATCTGTTGATTTTAACATCTGTGCCACTTCAGCAATCTCTATTTTATTCTCAGATATTGGTTGCTGTGCCATTGAGAGTTGTGTTCCTAAAGCTTTCACTTGTATGGTTGGTTTAAATTCTCTTGAACTTGTTGAAGTCCATGTTGCAGGCTTGAAGTCAGTGTAGATTGTAGACTTTTCTGAAGTTCTTTAATTGATTCTTGTCCTATTCATTTTCCCAAAGCCTGTGATTGTGCTGGTGAGGCCTCTGGGATTTGTGGTTTTTTTCTTTAAAGCCATTCAACTGCTATTTTCAATAGGTATATAAAATTATTCTTCTATTCGGCTATTCAAACAACAGTTCAGACTATCTGCCCATCAAGCTCATCTCGCATCAAATCAACAATTTTCAAAATGGCAGCCAATAACTAATAAACGATGCCAAATGTCTGACTGTCTAGCAGGTTGTAGCAGTTCCTTGTTTCAACAAGTCAATACCATCCCACTTTAATATATAATCTGGTCAGTGATGTAATTCCATGGTCAAAAAAGGAAAAAGAAGAAAAGGAAAAGGAAAAAGACAAAAAGAGAGAAAAATAAAAAATAAAAAATAAAAAGAAGGGGAAAATCAGGAGAGAGATATAAAAATCAAAAAGCAAAAACAATTATAATCCACAAAATAATGTAGTTCAAAACAGTTATGTTAGAGTCTTCCAACTCAACAGGCTTTTAATTGGATAAAATAAAAATAGTAGAGTAGCAATTAACTAGGTTTGTTAAACCAAACAAAAGCCAAAGAACAAGCGAGTCTTCCAACTCAACAGGCTTTCACTTGGATAAAATAAAATAGTAGAGTAGCAATTAACTAGATTTGTTAAACCAAACAAAAGCCAAAGAACGAGCAAAAGAATATTGCAAAAATCAGATATGAGAAATAAACAAAAATAATAAGAGTAACAAAAAAATATATCAGTTCTTCCACAGTTTCACTTCTAAATTTGTAAGCCACTCAGCGATCTGAAACTTTAGGTGACTCCTTTTCTCCAACTATAGTATACAGTTCCTGTGACTCCGGTAGACTGTCTCACTTTATTTTATTTTTATATCAACTCAGTCTTTTAATAAAAGTCAAATGGAGGGTGAATAGCAATCATAACGTTTATAATTCAAAGAAAAAAAGACCAAAAACCCCCCACAACCCCCCGTGTTATAATCCAAGAGTTCAAATCCAGAAGGAACAATGAGTTATAAACCAGATAAATCCAAATGTAGCTTCAAGCACAGCCACTTCCATTTATTCAGTTAACCTGAAAAGAGTTCCTCCATTAGATGAAGCAATAAATCAGAATCAGCAGTGAAGATAAGCTTTAAGATCGAAAGCTAACTGGTAGTCGTTTGCAAACCAAGGAAGTCTAATAACAATTTTTAAGTTTCCAGAACTTTAAAGACCTTAAAGTCCAGCTGAGTCTACTTATCACCATATTTGATTTAAGGCCTCTGTCCGTCTGCTTAGTTTCACTTTCCCCTCTCCTTCACTACAGACAGACTGTGTTTGACACTGCTTTCAGTGGGGAGATGCAAAGAGGTTCAACCACTCTTCTCTTGGCCGTGAGTACCTAAGCTGCCATCCAATTTGTTATTGTCAGTTGTAAATTGTCAGGGCTATTTCACTTACTTATAAACTTGTCAAATAATCAATCAGCCATCTTTGTTTCCCTGTAGTCCTGGGGAATTGGAGTAATCACAACTCGGAGCCATAAAAAGATGGCGCCCAACTCAGTCCATGCTTCAGGGTTTCAGCACTGCCAGATCTGCTGTCTCTTCAAACCCATCAGCTCATGTAGGCTTCTCCTAGCCTACACCTGGTCCCAGTCACACTGACACCCCTATACTAACTGGGAATCAGCTTTCCATTAGGGATCTTCTCCCTGGAATGTCCGTCTTCCAGGGAGAGGCTGAAGCCCCACCTCTCCGGTTAGGGGGAAATTAAATGTGGGTTGTGGAATAGAAGGTTTTTCTATCTGTCTTTCCTCACAAGGTGGCCCAAATCCAACCTGGATCTAGTTGTGTTTGGAAAATAGTTATATCAAAAGAGCCAGTCATAGACCTCCCAAATAATTCAGGATCTTTCTCTAGCTTGTTGAAGTATCATGCCCATCTGAGCTTGGAAAGATGGAGTCCTTCAGTTAGAACAGGAGTGGCAATCATGCAGTCCTCCTGATGTTGTTAGACTGAAACTCCCATCACCCTGGCCAGTAAAGTTAAAGGTGGGGGATGATGGAAGTTGTAGTCCAGCAATGTCCATAGAGCTATTGCTCCCACATTAAGGGAGATTGTTTATCTCAATATATCTCCCCCTTAATGTCTAGTTTTTTTTCCAAGGATGAAGACCATGTCCTTACCTCATCAGTTTCAGTGAATTCTTTTCTTTTAGGTGGTTGGCCTGCCCCAGGTAAAAGTGCTCCCATTGGGATATTGATATTCGCCTGGAAATTAGAGATCATATTTGTGTTAGTACACAATGAGAATCTGTAAGTCCCCTAACAAGGCAGGAATGGATGGGTCTCCGATTCGGAGTACTGTACAAATTTACTTCTATGTTCAATATTTCAGCTCATGTATTAAACCAGGGATTAGGAAAGTGCCCCTCCCAGACTTTTCTGTAAGCCCTTCTAGACTCTAATGAAAAAGTGTTGGCCTAAAAAACCCCAGTAGTTTAGCACTCTTCCCTAACAACTTAACCAAACGTCACCCCTCCATGAACTCTGAAGTAGATGTGCCCTCTCCTGTAGTAAAATAAGTGGTTTTTTAAAAAAGTAAGTATGATAACCTATTCATTTTTGTTAGCAAACTCCATACTATAAAGCTTGCTCAAGTGAATTAAGAAAAGGAAGAAGCACTAAACATCAAATTGCAAATATACATTGGCTACTGGAATGTGCCAAACAACTGCAGAAGAAAATCAGTCTGCACCTTATAGATTACAACTTTTTTCTGAGTAGGTCATGAAAAGCTGTGTATCATTCTAAAAGGAATGGATGTGCCACAAGAACTTCTGGATAGCTCAGTGATTTAGGTCTCTGGCTGGGGAGCCTGAGGTTGGGAGTTCAATTCCCCACTGTGCTTCCTTGACAGGGGCTGGACTTGATGATCCATAGAGGCCCTTACAGCTCTGCAATTCTAAGAAAATAATGATGATGAACATTTAGCTGTCATAAGGCATAACCTGTAATCTGGATGAGAGGTTACTGTTAGGACAGAATATAGAGAATAGCTTCCAGTTGACACAAAGGTATATTTTGTCAAAGATGCATTTTTCCCATATTTGTTCAATATACATGCTGAATATATAATACTAAAAGCTGAATTAGTCTCAAATAAAGTAGGAGTGAAAACTGATGAAAGAAATATCAGTAATTCAATGTAAGCATATAACATCATATTGCTGACAGAAAACAACAATGGCTTGAAATGACTACTGATGAAGGTTGCCAAAGAAAGTGCAAAAACAAATTTACAGTTTGAACATTAAGAAAACATTAATAATAACTACAGAAGATTTACTATCTTTCCTTATTTCCTAATGTAGAAGAAGTAAAAAATGTTGAAGATGCAGACCGCAGTAAAGAAATGAAAAGATCGAGACTTGGAAAGGCAGCTATAAAGGAGCTAGAAAAGATCCCCAAGCATAAGCATCTGTCGTTGGAGAACAAGACCAGTGGTAGGGTATTCCTGATTACAAAGTACAGATGTAGAAGTGAGAAAATGAAGAAAGCTGACCGGTGGGGGGAGGGAGGGAAAGGGGCTGATTCAAAGTATGGTGTCAGAGGAAAGCTTTATGGACAAACAAGTGATTCTAAATAAATTCAATCTAGAATTCCCCCTCAGTTCTAAAATAACTAAACAGAGGCTAGTGCATCATGAGAAGGCAAGATTCACTGGAAAAGTCAAAACAAAACAAAAAACAGGAAAATCGGATGGCAGGAGGAAAAAAGGAAGCTCTAACTTGAATTGGGTCAACTCAACTGAGCCCAGCTGCTAGCAATTGGACCTTTAGGAGGCCACTAATTTATAGAGTAGCCATAAGTCATAAATGACCTGACAGTATATAACTACAATAAGCTGTTTATTAGAGCCTTTATGTATAACTACATATTAAGGTATTGCTGTTTATCACATCAGGCAGATTAAGCTACATTGATTTTAATACATGTATGTGTATATGTGTGTGTATATAACATTATTACAAAAGCTTTATTTGAGTACTTGCATTAGAACAAAAAAGCTAACTTGTTTTAACGACTGGTGTTTCATGTATTCTAGTTAGAAAATAAAAGTTGTTTTCCTTACACAATAATGATTTTTTCCCTGCTTGCCTTCCAGACAGATGCAGTCAACTTGCCCATCTAAATCTTCACTAGGTAGGTTGCTTTGTTTGCCCAGCCACAGTAAACAGCTCAGCAGGACAAGAAATTAATAATGTATGGATCCATTTTCTCTCTTCAGTAACATACGGTGGTTTCATGCCTCGAACAGGGATCATGGACAGAGAGTGCAACAGGTCAGGCTGATGCCAAAACTCTCCCCCTTTCCTCAAATGTTCAAAAGCATGCTCTTTGACAAAAAATTGAATAGTTTTGCACGGGTTATAGTGGATGAATTGGATTTCTCCACATGCAGATCTACAAGCTTGGCACACCTATATATATTATGACGTGTAACACCACCTTATATATGCACATCAGATACTCTAAATGGAGTTCTTGGATAAGCTGGATGCACAAGGAATGTGGCTTATATGCAGATTGAAAATTCCCTAATTTCATAAGCACCATACAGTTATGTTGAACATTTATATACTAGTTAGTTTCCCTCTTAAAATCCTACAATGGAATTACAGCATTTTATAGCAAAAGGTGAGATTCTGCTCTGGGTTTTACATTCTTCTGCCTAATGGAAATGTTCCATTCCTTAATAAATCCTTGAATATAAGTTATCTTCAGTATACATTATCAATTGTGTCGCCACATGTGAACTGACGATGAAAGTGATTGCACATGCAGGAGACTTGTGTTCACAGTGGAAGAAAAATTTCCTGCATGGAATACTTGAATTTCAGTATTTGAATCATAGCTGGCTGGACAGCTCAGTGAGTTGGGTACCAGGATACAGAGCCAGAGATGTGGAGTTCAATTCCCAAGTGTGCCTCCTGTGAGTAGAGCCAGCCTATGTGGCCTTGGGCAAGCTACACAATCCCAAAGTGCCCCCAGAAGAAGGCACTAGTAAACAACTTCTGAGTACTTTGTATCTAGAAAACACAGAGAGGATTGCACGTGGCAGAATGAACTTGACAACATGCAATTATTATTACTATTATTTCAATCGGATTGTTTGTGCACTGGAAAATACACCTTGCAATTGGTCCTTCAGAATACTTATCTCCATTATATTTACTAGCTTTTTCAGTTTAAACATGAAATCATAGTTTGCTCAGTTAATAGGAACCTGGGTTTGCCATGAAACCAGAGCTTTAACTAGAGTGGAGCAACTGGGATTTTACTACCGGTGAGTATCAGGAAAACAAATAACATCTCTGAATCCTATTCACTATCTCTCTTTTTAAAGTATAGATTTTCTCTTTCTTGGGTGGACATAATATTCTCTTCTTCCTTTTCCGTGGGTGGCATAGGTGGGAGTAGGAGGGAGATGGCGCTTTTCCCCCCAGGCGCCAAAAGTGCTAGTTCTGGCTTTTCACAAAATATTGCTTTTTTGGGGGTGGGGGGACAACAAACTAGAATCTGAAGCCATGCTGTGTTCTAAAGCACAGTGTGTGCCAGCGATGGTTTGCTGTGATATCTGAACTCATGGTCAAATCACAGATTCAATTAGTGCTCTATCTCAAGTGGTTGATGTACCATGATGAGGTTGAAATTAATGAGGCTAATCCTTGACAGATGAGAAACAAGCTGCTAAACCACAACTTGCTTACTGTGTCTGAATACTGAAATCACACAGTAGTTTCTTCATCTAAAGTTAGCACAAATTATGGCTATATATTATATCTGAACACAGGGACTAGGGATTGGATTCCGGGACTATTCATCCCAACAGACAAACTTGTTACAGACCACTAAATGTAACTTTACTTGGGAGAAAATCCTCAAATGGAAGACTTTGAGGCTGACCTAGAGCTAGCTTTGTGTTTTTTTCTGCACTGCTTGCTGGGAGCTTTCTTTCTGAACAGGAAGCTAGATGGAACTAAGCCTAACTTAGCCTCTGAATACTAATGGTAAACCAAAAGATTTTGCAGTTCGATAGGACACAGATAGAAACAGATGGCAGTGGGATTAAATTTATGGCACTAGAACTAAACTGGTGCAAGTTCTAATCATTCAGCTTCATGTGTGTGTATACTGGTTTCTTTCCATAGATGTTTCAGTGCTATGTAGTCCAATCCTAAACATGCCTAACAGTAAGTAAAGTCATCTAATTTCAATGACATTTACTCTCTTGTAAACATGCGTACTGTAGAACTGTAGCCTAAGTGTGTAATTGTATACAAGTGTACTCAAAGGTAAGTCCTAGTAAGTTCAATAAGACTTACTTCTAATAAGCGGCTATGGGACTCCACTTAGTGAGTTCAATGAAATGGGCAGCTTTTTACAGATAGCAAAAAGGAACAGCTAAGGATTTGTTTTCATTTGTCAAATTAGTGTTTTCAAATGTTTGTTTAGTCACACAATGAAGAAAATGTTAATAATGAAAAATAAATTCTGATCGATAATAAAAAAAGAAGCCGCACGATAATATTTGTATATATGTGATGTTGGTGCAACCAAAGGCACATAATTTCAGTGTTTGTAAATAATGCTCATTGTCTGCATTGTGGGCAAGTCTATATTTGTGTGTGTGTGTGTGTGTGTGTATGTGTGTGCGCGCACACACACACACACGTGTGCATGTGTTTAGTAAAAACATTGGCTTTCTAAAACATTATTTCTTTGATGTTGCTAGTGAAAAATATAAAAATGCAAAATACATAGCCAGTTCTGAATAGATATGCATGCAGGTCAAGTGAAAGTAATAACATTCTGGGTTAGTATTAGAAAGCCAAGTGAACTTTCTCCCAAGCCAAACTGTTCTTACTTACAAGCAGGAAAGTTATCTGCTGACTCTTACCTGAATACTTCTGACATTTGAAGCTGGCTGTTTTGACATTTTCAAGAAAGAGGCTTATTCCTGCAATAGATAAATAAGAATATTATGGGCTGCACTGACATTCTAAAAGCAAAACTTGATTAACTACAATTTAACCCATGGTTCGTCTTGACAAGTATTGATTTATCAGCTCAGATCGTCTTTCAGTCTCAGTTTCAGAGTTACTAAGCTACCTCCACCAAATAGCACAAGAAAATGAGACCACTTGAGCTTCCCTGGTGAATTTTTCATAAGCCAAAGAAGTAAGATCATTTTCACAATAGAAACGAGAAAAGAAGGCTGCAATCCTATACTCGCCAAGCTGGGAGTAAGCCCCACTGAACTAAATGCCATTTATTTCTGGGCAGATTTGTATAGGGTTATTATAGGTACAGATTATAATCAGGAAGCCCTTGCATTTGGAATGTGCTTTTATGGATTAAAATGTAATTTGTGGCACTACACAAAACATTAAACATCAGTTAAAAAAAACTACATGAGCTTCTAAATACTGTAATGTCATGTACCTTTTCTAGAATAAGGCAGTTTCCTGCAGTGTGAAAGTGATAAAAAGTACTTCAAAGCCTTCTAAAATGGAGTTGCTGTAATTAATACAGCAGTGGCATTCCACATGTTCAGTGCTTTCCCATATCCAGTAGTTAGTAAGCCCCACTGAACTAAATGCCATTTATTTCTGGGCAGATTTGTATAGGGTTATTATAGGTACAGATTATAATCAGGAAGCCCTTGCATTTGGAATGTGCTTTTATGGATTAAAATGTAATTTGTGGCACTACACAAAACATTAAACATCAGTAAAAAAAAACCTACATGAGCTTCTAAATAATGTCATGTACCTTTTCTAGAATAAGGCAGTTTCCTGCAGTGTGAAAGTGATAAAAAGTACTTCAAAGCCTTCTAAAATGGAGTTGCTGTAATTAATACAGCAGTGGCATTCCACATGTTCAGTGCTTTCCCATATCCAGTGGTTTAGGTCTCTGGCTGTAGAGCCAAAGGTTGGGAGTTTCTGAGAGAAGAGCCAGCTTGTGTGGCCTTGGGCAGGCTGCACAGCCCCAGGGTGCCCCCAGAAGAAGGGAAAGGTAAACCACTTCTGAATATTCTCTACCTAGGAAACCCTGGAAAGGGTCACCATTGGTATCAACTTGACTGCACACAATCATTATTAATTAGTTATGGCAACATATATGTGTGTTTGTCCAGCACTACTTTCTTGGCTTAAATGTAATCTTAAATTTAGAGTTTAATAAGAATAATGTGCCATCAGAAATGAAGAACCTCAAGAAAAAAGGATGACAGAGCTGTATAGGATAGCTTTTAACAGCACTAATTCTGCGAAGCAACCAACATGAACCTGACACAACTCCGGGAGGCAGTAGAAGACAGGAGGGCCTGGCGTGCTCTGGTCCATGGGGTCACGAAGAGTCGGACACGACTAAACGACTAAACGGACGGAAACGGAAGAATAATGTGCCATCAGAAATGAAAAACCTCAAGAAAAAAGGATGACAGAGCTGTATAGGATAGCTTTTAACAGCACTAATCTTTCTTTTATGCCTGCTGACCTCATTACTGTGGGAGAAATCAGGACAACAGAATGCTGACGAGTAAAAATAGACAGCCTTCTTGGTCTATATCCCCTACTTTCCATTTAGGACAAGTACTGGCTATCAAATGCTTGAGAATATAAATATAAAAGCTATTCAATGTCTTCCTGTTTCATAGATCATATGAACAGGAAGCTAAGCAGTCGCGATAAGTAGGTGATGCTTTTGTGTCCTATTGAATTCCTTCCCAGGAAAATTGCAATCCAGCCATCTGTGTAAATGCTGTAGAAGCATATCCCGAAAGGGTTGGTGCTGCTCTCTTATATCAACGTAAGTATTAAGCTGAAGGAATCGAAAAGAGATCATGCTGCACCATTTCCTGCAGACCTCCTTTGGGCCCATTGAGTCCAGGGCAAGAGATTGGGTAGAGAGACAGGAATGAGCTGAAGAAATGTCTTCAGAACCCCAGCCTGTTACAGTATTTGATGACCCAAAATTCCACCTTTCTCACCATGCTGCCAGCTGGCAGTAACAGGTGGGGATGATGGAAGTTATAGTTCAGTACATTTAACAAGGAGCAGGTTGGAGAAGTTTGGTTCAGAAGTTCTAGTACAAGCTCTCTTAGAACCAGAGGAGCAGCAGACAAAATCTCCTCCCTGTTGGTCAAGGGTCAGCCATGTAGATCTCCTGATGCTTCTGGTCAGCAGTCCCCATCATTCCTCACCAATGGCTATGCTGCCAAGAGCTGATGGGCCAAAACCATCTGGAGCGTCACAGTTACCCCCTTCTGGAGGAGCCCTTTGTGACAGAAAGTCTGGAAGCAGCTGATTGATATGGAGCACAGTCTCCAGGGCTTTTTCCTTCTGTTCCACAAGTGGGCAAAGTATACTCCTTCAAATATTTTAGGGGTATCCCCTCCCATCATTCCTAGCCAACACAGCTGAGCATTGTAGTCAAACAACATCTGGAGGGGTGGGTGCACTTTGTTCATGCCTTTTCTACTGTAAGACCAAAGCAGCAAATGAGTACAGGGAAGAAAATAAACCTAGTCAATTATAGTTTACTGTTCAGCTAACCAGTGTTAACAGAACAAGATACTGAAATCTGTATTCTAACTAAGGAGCCGCCGTGACAAGGACAATTCGACTTCTGGGTGTACAGACACTTTTCTCATGCCTTACCTTTTATGACCTGTATTTACTATGAAAGTTTGCAGGCAATGCCACTCCTGTTTCTTTCAGGAGCTTTTGGTAATCTTTTTTTTCCTAGTTCATATGCAAATATCCCTATGATTCCTGAGTAGAGAAATAGCAAGACATTTTAAAAAAAGAATAAAAAATGCTGTTACCTTCTTGCCCTCATCTAAAAATAAGTCCTGACAAGGGTGCAGAAGAACATGCAGCTGTCTGCAACCAAGTTACTCAATTTGGTTTAATAAATTGTTACAGAACAAGCACTTCCAGAATGTCCTTATATTAATAATGCCACTCTAGATACAGTTAAGAAAAGAAACTAGTAACTTGCCATCTTTTTCTCCCTAGCACATGCATAAAACTGGCACTCGTTATATAAACAGAAAGCTGTACAATCTTACCCTGCCCGCAACCTAGATAGAAATGACACCACTGGGAATCTAGGTCCTACTGAAAGCAGGAGAAGAAAAACTCCATGTTGAAACTTTACAGCTCACAATGCAATTAAAGTTCCTATCATGGCAGTTGTAACGCTGCTCAGTTTTGCCTTGGTTTTATTTCCAAATTTTAAATGATTATGTGAAACTATTTCAAGCAAACTACAAAGAAAAGGACCTAACCATGCTTTTGCTTCAATTTTCAAAAAGCCAGCTGTGCAAGGTATGTTTCCATAAAAATCTTCTTGGTGCGTACATCGTAGATAATCTTTTGATAAAGCTAAGTCTAAGGACCAGATTCTTATTTCCAAATAATTTTACAACTCTTGATAGAAAAATATAATTGCTGTAACAGCCTGCGTAAAAAGTTACCATTCTTGTTTGCAAAATCTAGGGAAATGTACAGTACTTCATTCATTCACCATCTAGCTGTGTATTAGATTGTTTTTCTAGATCATCCTGTACTTTTTTAAAAAAAAAAAAACAGTCCACCCCATCACATCATATCTTCCATTATGTACCTGTTTCGTTTTATAGTTAAAGTTCCAAACTGTCAGGAGAGTGAAAATGTACACCTCTTTTCGATGCAGAGTGTGACACCGTCCTCAGTCAATTGAGATCTTCCTGGTGCTGGTGGGTAAAACAGACGAAGCCCTTTGTGCTGTTAGACTACTGAGTGCCCTTCTAGTGCTGGAGTAGAGCTGAGTTTAGAAGCCAAGTGTAAAAGAGAATTCCTTTCATAGCTTACAGTTGTTCTTCCTAAATATAGAGTCAGATTCATCCTGTAACTTCATTCCCTCCCAGTGAAAATCGTGGCTCAAGTGTCAAGCAGAGAAGGGTTGGTGAACTCACCTTCCGGCGATATTATGCTGCCACATTCTCACTCTGTAACTGCTAAGACTGAAACATTTTATAATTAGTTTTATAACTTTTGGTCATACATATTAGGCAAGAGAAAATGGACAATATTTTTTCCTGTTATTGCACATACAAGGCAGTCTTAAAGCCACTTGATCCAGAGGTCCCATGGAAATGTGTTGGAAAACATGGTTTTTGTTTCGTTTCGTCATTTTGAGATTGCCAAGATGGAGTAAAGCTCTGCTAGTATTTTTCATCAAAAGCCATTGCTTATCCCATCTTTCCCAAAGGGATTTTTCTAAAGTAAGAAAAAGATGAAAGAAGTAGCAAGAAATCATAGGAGGGTTGCCAAGGGGAAACACCTCATCCAAAAATTCACTGAAAACAGCGTGATAGCACAATTAAACCATTGTCTACAGTGGTTCTTAACCTTTGTTACTCAGGTGTTTTTGAACTGCAACTCCCAGAAACCTCAGCCAGCAGAGCTGATGGTGAAGGCTTCTGGGAGTTGCAGTGCAAAAACATTTGAATAACAAAGGTTAAGAACCAGTGGTCTAGAAGTATCCACAGGCCCCCTGCTGAATAAGAGGATTTTCAGTTACATATTTAAAACGTGCCTGCTGCTATACGAGCAATAAAGCAGTAAAATCTGAGTGCAAAGGTGTAGGATCTGTCTTCCTTTTGTTTCTCCTATATTGCGTTCAAAACTTTGTCTCATAAGACTTGACACCTCATTTTGACGGTCTTGCCCTCTCCCCATAGTCAGACACAACAAAACAAGCTGAACTAAATAAATAATAATTTTAAACAATTATTTAAAAATATATCCTACTAAGTCCAAATATATATTTTTTCCAAAGCACAAATATGTGACTAAAAGCTTTGGGATGTTGCATACAGTTATCCTGGGGCATAGCTGCTGTCACGTGTTCTGGGATCTCCATATCTGTGCCAGTTTTCAAGCTGACAACATTGCTCTTGCAAAGATGTCACTGACGCAGCACAAGAAATTTAGTTCTCAGCAATGGACTGATGCCCTGGAGGCCAGTCATCCTCCCAGTAAGCACAGGCATAGAGGTAAATGTTTATCATAACAACCTACATTGGATTGTTATGGTCACACCCCCTAGAAGAATCTAGAAATGTACTTCAACAAGAAATACAAAACAAAAGCAAAAAAAAAAAATACATTGTGGCACCTTAAAAATGAAGTGCTATACAGTAGGACCCCCATATCCACAGGATCAATATCCGCTGATTAACCTATCCATGGTTTGAAAATATTTAAAATATTAAAAGAACAATCTCCCAAAATATTCATTTTTAATGGTGAAGTTGCCAGAAGCAGCCACTGGAGAGAACCAGAGACCATGCTATGTATAGCATTTGCAAGAGAAATAAATTTCCACCATGTCATTACCAGAAACGGCCACTAGATATAGCCAGATACCATGCTATTTATAGTGCTTACTGTTAAAATGATGTTCCACTTTTTTCAGTATTCATGGTGGGGAAAACTTGGAACTGATCCGCTAGATATGGGGTCCTACTATATTTTTAAATAATTTTTCATGGGAAATTCTTCAGACATATGAATTAGAATACAGAGACTGGTGGTAAAACATTCATGCAAGGCTCTAAGACAACGGGATAAACAATGGTGTTTCCTTGCACTTCACATATAGTAATGATTTGTGACCTGTTTGGTGTTCAGTTCTTCTGGACCTTGATTCTGTAAACAGCAACATGATTAAAGGAAACAACAGAGGAACAACATGTGTTAATTAATATAGAGAATGACAGACTTAACCTTTGAGCTTTGTTCGGAAAAGATGGACCTGTTAGTTGTGAAGGAAAATAACAATGGAAAACAACATAATTATTATATTTACTAATGACTTAAAAACTCTTGGTTGATATTTAATCCATTGGCATGTGTGTCCAGTATGTGTATATATTTTATCTCTGCTGTTTCCCTCTGGGTTCTTATTCTGTAGTTTTTCTTCTCCAGAATAGCAACTTTCATATGCTCTGAAGAGTGTTCTGGTAGACTGAAGTGATTTGAGACAGGCTTCTGTGCATTACGATTTCTGATGTCTGATTTACGTCCATTAGAGACTGTCCTGTTTGTCCTATGCAGAGTGTAGGGTCACTGCTGTTGTTTGTTTCCTATACTCCCGGTGTTATTATTATTGAACCCCATTAGAGGTGCTTGGTCTGTTCCTCTTTTTGTGCATAAGGGTTCATCTGTATATCTGAGCTTGCATCTCCCTCCCCCTTCCAATTCAGTTTAAAGTCCAACTGATGAAGTCCTTCATGCTGTGAGCAAACACAGTCTCCCTTCCTGCTCAGCTAGCCAGTCCAGGCAGGGGGAGGGAGGACGAGTCTGCCTGCATGGCTGCTGAGTGGCTAGCAAAACAGGAAGAGGACGGAACTCCAGGAGTGAATGGAAGGATAAGCGGGGCCACCACTGCCGCTGGACATGTCAGTGAATGGTACAGGCCCGGGGGCCAGACCCTCATTAAGTGCAGCTGCATGGGGATAATCATATTCATAATCAGATATGAATACCCCCATCTCTAATTTGTTTCCATCAATGAATACAAATATCCCTGACCCACGTGTCCCGGATCCCCAGGCCTGCCTCCAAAAACCAACCCATCCAGTTATGGGTCGGGGCTCAGCATGTGGGGCCAGCATCGTACTCGGCGTGCCAATCTGTGAGGAAGCCTGGCTGCAGCTGCTCCACATCCTGCTCGTCTGGCCATTCCAACCAGGGGGTGGGAAGATGAGTCTCCCTGCTCAGCTGCCGAATGGCCAGACGAGCAGGAGGATGGAGCAGCTCCAGTTATGGGTCGGGGCTCAGCATGTGGGGCCAGCATCGTACTCGGCGTGCCAATCTGTGAGGAAGCCTGGCTGCAGCTGCTCCACATCCTGCTCGTCTGGCCATTCCAGCCAGGGGGCGGGAAGATGAGTCTCCCTGCTCAGCTGCCAAATGGCCAGACGAGCAGGAAGATGGAGCAGTGGAGGCCAGGATTCATTGCACATTGGCACGCAGAGCAGGATGCCAGCCCTCCATGCTGCGCTGCAACCCATATGTGGATGGGTCAGTTCTTGGCCTGGGGATCTGGAACACCTGCACCAGGGATATTCATATTTGTTAATGAATACAGATATCCCATCTCTAGTAAGCAACCATTGAAGCTGATTCTAAACTTCAGTGCAACACTGAGTAAATATTAGGAGAGTAAGAACAACTGTGTCCACTCCTTTCATTCTTGTGATCTTTCAGAGGTATGTAAATGCGGCAGAAGCAGCTTAGCAAAAGGCTAAACTTCATTATTCTGGCCTAATCAATCAAGGTAGTTAATGTAGTCTAAATTTTAGCTGTTGATTGAAAAGGTTAACAGATGCTGTCTTTTTTCTTTTATTTTTCTGGTGACCATGCTAACTCTGAGATAAATATATATTTTGATTAAAATTTGGAAGCATTTGCATGTGATAGATAACTATAATATTATTACAGCAGCAACAGCAACAATAGCCTGTCAGGAATAAACAAAAACTAATTCATCATATCATACCTGGATGCCCTAAACTAGTGTCAATGGATTACATGTGCAGGCATAATTTCCTTGAACATCAGGAAGCAAATCAGCAACTATTGGCAATTGTTTTAAATTGACAACCAAATATATTGGAACACTCTAGTTATTGAAATTAGAATCGGGGGAGGAGGATGTATTCATTCATTAATTTATTGCCTGTCAGGAATAAACAAAAACTAATTCATCATATCATACCTGGATGCCCTAAACTAGTGTCAATGGATTACATGTGCAGGCATAATTTCCTTGAACATCAGGAAGCAAATCAGCAACTATTGGCAATTGTTTTAAATTGACAACCAAATATATTGGAACACTCTAGTTATTGAAATTAGAATCGGGGGAGGAGGATGTATTCATTCATTATTTTATTTTATTTTATTTTATTTATTTATTTATTTTATTTGTACCCCACGTATCAGGTCTTGCGAGCACTCTAGGCGGCTTCCAATGCAACATAAAACAACTAATAAAAATAACACAAGAATTATTGCATAAGTATTCTTGCTTCCATATTCTTTAGATTTCTTGCTTTAAAGTTTCACAATTGACTCTGAACTATCTGGAAAGGTTTTCACCTCTTAAACTTCTGTGTCTCACAGCTTTAAAGACAACGTTTTAAGTGTCTACTTGATTACAACAGTGTTTCAGGGCCTGTCCAGACAGGTATATAGATTTCTGTTTGCCTCACTGTTGGTACAGTTCAATGTGAACCAAATTACATAATCCACAGCTATTTCTACTTAGATTGATTCATCCTGCCCCTTTAAGAGCTGTCCTGCTCCTTTCTGGCACAGTGCTATTGGCTTCTGATGTTTTTGGATGCTTCAGAGCCCTCCCGATTTTCATACTCAGTTGGCGAGTTCACACCCAAATGAGCTGTGGGTGGTCCCCAATGTTTACCCAACTGTGGACCGGTTGGGGGGGGCATGTCACACCCATGTGCATATGTGGGGGGGACATGTTGCGCTTGCAGAGGTGGAGTGCGCTCTTGTGCATGTGTGTGGTGTGCTCGTGGGGTGGAGCAAAGGCAGCAGGGTTGAGGGACCACCTGGGTTGGGCTTCCATAGACAGAGGGGAAAGCTTTACCCAAGGTTTCCCATAGTCTCGCTGCCTTTGCAAAGGCAGCGAGACTGAGGGATCGCTTGGATCTGAACAATGGTCATGAGAAAAGGTTCGTAATGGGGCTATGTTGCCTCCATGAGCTCCAACCCCACAAAGCAGTGTAGTCTCAGGAGAGCCGTGTCGGACAAGAAAGGCAGGAAGGGGGGGTTACCTTCCTTTCATCTCCCCACCTTCATTCCAAAGTTTTTCCCTTATACTGACACTGTCTTCCACTGTTTATTGCCTTTTTACAGATGAGTATGGCATGTAAACGTACACATGAGTAAACTGGGTAAATCTGCTTACAAGTAAACCAGTGATCGAAAGACCTGTGTGGACCCTTATCATGAGAGAATGAGCATCTCCAGTGTAAAGGAAGGATCGCTAAATTGAGGAATAAAATAGATCACAGTGAAGAATAGAACTTTTTAAAGTGCAAACCAGACTGCTCCAAAATCCCCTGTCTGGACAGGGCTTTTTTGGCTCTCCAAAGGGAAGGATTGCTGCTGTTCTTCCATTTATTGGGTATGGAAAGACTTTCCAAAGGTGAACTTTTGGGGGGACTTTTATTTATAAATGAGGGACGTGGTGGCGCTCCGGGCTAAACCGCAGAAGCCTGTGCTGCAGGGTCAGAAGTCCATGCAGTCGTAAGATCGAATCCACGCGACGGAGTGAGCGCCCGTCGCTTGTCCCAGCTCCCGCCAACCTAGCGGTTCGAAAGCATGCAAATGCAAGTAGATAAACAGGGACCACCTCGGTGGGAAGGTAACAGCGTTCCGTGTCTAAGTCGCACTGGCCATGTGACCACAGAAGATTGTCTTCAAACAAAACGCTGGCTCTATGGCTTGGAAACGGGGATGAGCACCGCCCCCTAGAGTCGAACATGACTGGACAAAAAAATTGTCAAGGGGAACCTTTACCTTTACCTTTATTTATAAACAGAGCAGCTAACACTCATATGCTTTGGGCTTATGATCAGTATGCCTAACAACACTTCAACTCGGTGAGAAGTGCCTCTGCACAATGCATCCATTCTTGAAGAGGTCCGATCTGGCCACATCAACTCGGTGAGAAGTGCCTCTGCACAATGAAAACTATTGTGCCAGCTGCATCCATTCTTGAAGAGGTCCGATCTGGCCACATTACTTAGGTTTTTGGTTAAAACTTGTGTATTCTGACTGTGCCTGGAGTTTTTGAATGATAATATGTCAAGGTGGGGTAAGAATATTTTAAATAAATAAATTCTCTGAAGCATCTCAGTCTTTTTTCACAAAAAACTTGATTCTCTTCAAAAAAAAAATAATCCAGATTTATTTCAGCAGCCAGTGAAGCAGCATCTCTAGCTACTAATTAAATTCGTTCCAAAAGGCAGCATAGCTGTGATCTCTAGATTAACGGAATATGTCATTGAAACCGCGGGGGCGTTGGGAGGAAATTGAGTGGACAAGGTAGACATTTTAAAAACTGTGCAATAAATGAGCAATATTCCCCGCATGTTAATTTCTCATTCCTAAGAAGACAAACGAGCTCGACGGGGAACCGGAGGTGAGGGATAAAAAGAACCCCTAAACCCAATGCGCGAAGGGAGTTCCACTCTGACGTCACTTCGGCTTCCCCTCGGAATCCTCGAAGGGGAAAGAAAGAAGGGTGGAAACTCCAGCAGGGAGAACCCAGTAGGGACTTTTTCTTTTAAAAATAAAAGAGGGGTGCAACAGAATGGGGATTACAAAGTTATTTTCGGGGCAGTATTTGGAAATATTTCCCAAAGGATTGTTTTACTCTACGGGTGACCCTGGATGATTTTACAAAAACTAAATGGAAAGCTTGTGATTTGAACAGGTTGGACAACAGGCAGAAATTCAACAGGTGGAGCTACCCCATCTCTAGCTGTTCCATCTCAACTACAAGAAGTTGTTTACATTTGCGCCTGTGCCTGTCAGACAGGGTTTAAAGGCAATAAGCGCCCTGAGCTCCGTTTTCTACTGCCTGCTTCAAGACATGTTTCTCTCTCCCACGCCTGTTTTGGGTACGAGGAGGGGTCGATGAGGAATGCTTTTGATGCACTGTAACAGTTAAAACACACACACCCCGTGATACACTCCTGTGCTATTACAGATACACAAGAGGACATCCCACCGCCGGAGAGGGTTTTGTCCTGGCCATTTCGTGTTTGTAGTCTCTTTTTCGTGCCATGTGATTGTTTTGGAGCCATTTGAAGTGCACGAGTCGTGGGAAATAAAACATTTGTGGACACTGCCGAAGCGGGAAAAGGGCTCTTGTTTTACCCTTCTCCTCACGCAGTTATTTCAAGACACTGCATAAAAAAGGAATTCTATTTTTATTGAATTTTTCTATATATTTTATCTCTCGCTCGAGCCCTAACTACATCCTCCACACGAGGAGAACTCAGCTAACTGCAAACGAGAGCCTGAAGTCTTGATCGAATGTGGCTCTCTGAGCCCTTGATATCATTTCCTGGTTCTGTTACCGGAAGTCTCCCTCTCGGCACATGAGCGCGATAGCGGCCAGTTCCGAGCAGTGTTTTGTTCCAGCCGGTGCAGACAAATCCCTGGGGTGAAGTCCATTGCTCGTTCAGTGCCAGTTTTGCTGTGACTAATATGATTCCGATGTCCGTCGTGGTTTGCGTGCTGGGCGGTTGGAGTGCCGTCTATTTAGCCGATACGGTTTTAAAGGTGAGAGGGGCGCCTTTTCTCCATTGGCCACTATAGGAGGAAATTATTTCTTTCTGAATGATAGCTCAGTTGTTTTGGGGGCAGGTATGGGGAGCCAGTTGGTGTAAGCAGGAGCGGATGCGAGCGAGCTACAGGAGCGCGTTCGCACCGACTTTCTATAGCGCGGATTCAACGCGGGAGTTTGCAGGATGCTTTCCTATACGCATCGGCTCGGTCACCAGGCGGCGTATAATCGGGATTAGCAATGGCGTGGGGTTCCCCCTCAGTTTGTTCATCCCCACCTTTTCAAGACTGAAATTCATCAGGTTCAGAAGATGACTGCCATGCATTTTCCCCCCTCCTTGAAATTATAAAGGTAACCCCTCCCTTGCCCCAAGCCTCAGGAAGTATCCCTTAAATTTGTCAGGGTGCCTTACAGTTCTGGTGGTACAGTATGTGGCCATATAATCTTCCCTCAGAAGATAGGTAGAAGGTATCTGACATATATACTGTATAAGGTAATTTAAGTGCAGAACGAACTGACAGGGAGAATGATATTACTAACACTGGCCATTTCAGACAAACCTTTTTATATATTTTTATATATGTGTGTGTGATCTGGTGTGTTTGTCTGAAATGGCCAGTGTTAGTAATATCATTCTCCCTGTCAGTTCGTTCTGCACTTAAATTACCTCTAACCTTAATATCTCCAATCTTGGCCCAAACCATGTGGACTGTATATATCTGGGTGACAGTTTGTGTCTCTAGTAAAGTAAATGCAGAAAAAGCTCCTATTGTACTGAATTTGTTAGTGTCTAAATTGCACGAGGTCTGTTTGTTGCATATGCTGGAACAAGCAGACTGCAAACGGCTAGGTAAGTAAAATATAATTGCTTTGCAAGAAGTAAGCTGACACAGAAAGGAAGACTTTGTGGATGAGCAAAGAGTGAGAGGATTCCAAGTAGGATTGCCCAGTTAACAGCATCCTATTCTTGGTGATTTATGGCCAAACCCTGAGCTGTAGGTCTGGCTTTTGTGATGTTGCAGGGGTGGTGCCTTGCAGTATCAAAGAGGCAAAGGTTGGAAGAAACAGAAACTGTTTCTGGGCCACCCGGTTGTGTCAATGGACTAAGGCCAATTGGGTCCTAAATCCAGGAGGAATATAGCTGACCAGATTATACAGCAATCAGTAGCAAGAGGAGAATAACCTTTTTTGATAGTTGGAGGATGGAAAAATGCTCTAGCTTCTCTAGTGGTTAGTCTCAACTGGTAAGCCTCACATCACATGCAGCCTTACCTCTAGTGCACATGACCATATGCGGAGATTTTCCAGGCCCTGCATTCTGGCTTGGGCTTGTGGAAACGCACCACACTCCTACAGCTTTTCCCCCTGGCCTTTTAGTAGTGTCTGCCAGGGCATGTGTAAGAAGTCTCTCCGAGTGCTGACATTCCACTTCCTAACTTGCTCCAGATTGCAAGGATGGGCCCACCTGCCCTCTTCCCAGTCCCCTGCACTCTTGTTATTTTTTTAGTGTTGTACATCCTGCACTTGCACACATGAAGCGATAGAAAGGCTTAAAGATCCTAAAACATGAGGTGATTTATATGGGGAGATGCAATCCTTCAAGATTGCCTAAACCAAAGTTGTTTAAGGATTTGTAGGACATAGCTGAGTGGTTTAGGTATCTGGATGTGGTGCCAGAATTTGGGAGTTCGATTCCCCACTATGCATCCTTGACAGGGGCTGGACTTAATGATCCATAGGGTCTCTTCCACATCAGATCTGAAATGATGATGGTGACGATTTTGCACTTTGCCTGGAAATGGAGCAGTAGTCAGTGAGGTTATAACAAGGAATTATCGTTCATCTTGTAACTAGCTCGTCAGTTTGCCACACAGATGGGAGGAGATGGGTGCCTGGTCTGTAAAGCTGCTATTCTCAACCTTTTTGGGGGGGCCACTGCCCTTTTAGGAGTTTTTCTCAGGTTCCAGAGGCCCCTGTCAAACAAGAATACAACATATCCTATATTGTGCCAATAGACCTCTCACATATTTTTTCAGTCTGGGGTCTCCTTCAGATGTCCCAGAGGCCCATTCTCTGTTGAGAATGGCTGCTTTAAAGCCAACCCACATAAACAAAATATTTTTTTTCTCCCTGCTCATCCTAATATTTATCTCCCCATTTGGATGCCTGGGAAACCATAGTCTGAGACCTGACAGCTCTATTTCTGAGATCCAGGTTGTAGTCACAGGACATCCAAAGCCATCGTGAGCTAGTCTTCAGATGCAGGAAGTTGTAGGTTCCAGGACTTCTGGTGAAAAGAGAAAGGAGCTCGTAGGTGAAGTTTATAGATCCAGAAACAGAATGAAGTGTCTGGCAATTTAGTACAGGGTATGAACAATCCTTCCACAAACATACACTGCATAGGAAGGAGAACAGTGAGGCAGGAAGCTGCCAAGTGGCTGGAAAGTACTTCCTGAGAACATACTAGAGCAAGCAATGGTTATCTTGCCTCTGTCTTGCTAGACCAGCTTGAAAAGATCTACAGGGTCGTTTCTGCTGAAGAAGCAGAAAGGTGGGAGATGATGTTTGGTAAAGATCAGGGGAAAGAAAGAAAAGTCAGAAGGTACTTAAAGCTAGAATTTAGGAATAAGTACAGGCTGATGATGCTGAAACCCTAGAGACCAACAGAGGCTTCAGGACTACTGGTAACTCAACAATTTCAGCAAAGTAGAAGCAGGATCGTTTCTCAGGATGGCCATGAGAACAGGACCTTTCCTAAAGAATAACAGTGGAAAAGTACGACTTCTTGGGATTGGTGCAGAAGATAGAACACTAGGCAAATGAAACTGGAGGCATTCTACAGGAATCTTGGGTAGAATTTTTTCTTGTTGGGCAGGATCGTTTCTCAGGATGGCCATGAGAACAGGACCTTTCCTAAATACTAACAGTGGAAAAGTAGGACTTCTTGGGATTGGTGCAGAAGATAGAACACTAGGCAAATGAAACTGGGGGCATTCTACAGGAATCTTGGGTAGAAAGTTTTCTTGTTTTCTTGTACTTACCAAATAGTTTTCCTAATTTTCATTCAGCACTGAGATAACCCAAGGTTAAGAACCAGTGGGCTATGTGACCTTTTCTAGTACTTACCAAATAGTTTTCCTAATTTTCATTCAGCACTGAGAAGCAATAATACCAGAAAGAGGGTGCATAAAAGACGCCACCTCAGCTTTGTTGAATGCTATCAAGATTCCCACTTGCAGAGAGAACAGTAGGATAGTAATTCTAATTAGTTTGTCTGTTGTGATTTACTTATCAATGGGACATAGGATGAAGAGCAGGTTGGATAGCTCAGTGGTTTAAGTATCTGGCTGTGGATCCAGAGGTTAGGAGTTCAGTTCCCCACTGTGCCTCGTGGGAGAAGAGCCAGCCTGTGTGGTCTCGGGCAAGCTGCACATTTCCAGGATACTTCCCCCATAAGAAGGGAATGATAAACCACTTCTGAGTATTCTTTACCTGGAAAATCCTGGAAAGGGTCACCATATCAGAATCCACTTGATGGCATGCATTTATTGCTATCATAGATTACTGCAAACTGCTGAACTTCCATTCTTTGTTGGGAAGCACTTACTGCAGTAATCAGAGTAGCATCCGTCATAATCCTATGGAGGAGCCTTCTTAACTGTGGTGGCTAATTGGAGTTAACATCTCTTCTGGTGTGTGCATGGCTCATTTATTTGACCAAATAAGCTTTTCAGGGAATCAACTCAAGTGTACTGATTGACCTCTGAATGCTCTTGAGAGATGTCATCCCTCACAGCCAGTACTTCTTTATCAGATTCCAGATGTAAACAGCAGTTTCCACTGAGTGCTCTCCCTCTCTGTTACATATGCACACACATACAGTCTTGGCAGGGATGTTGTGCAGATCCAAGTAAGCAGCAGTCTGCCAGTAGCACAGAACGTATGTAGTACCATAATTTTGTTTATTTTTATCATTTTACTTCTTAACTGGTTTAAAGAACAACCCACAGTTAAAAGAGAGGAAAATATAATAGAGCTAAGATATAGTGATGATTAAAGCATGAATATCTTTTAAATGGAACTAAATCCAGGGAGGATAGGGCTATCAGTGGTTGCTGTTCATTATGTATTGCTTCCGTTCAGAGGTAATATGCCTTTCAGTATTGTCTACTGGATAACACAAGCTTATAGGCTTGCTATAGGGATCTATCTGGTTGGCCACTGCAGGCAACAGAATACTGGATTCTATAGGCCTTTGGTTTGATCAAGTATGACTCTTCTTATGTTCTTATGCAATGCAAAAAGAAGAGCAAAGAAAGCAAATAGACAAAAAAATGGAAAGAACTATAACAAAGAAATGTCTCTACAGTCATAATCCTTAACGGAAAACTCCTAAAATGCCCTTTTTGTCAGAATATTGTTTTGCTTTTGTTGCAGTCATCTTCCTCTCTGAAGGCAGCTTATGAGGACTGGCTTACATCTCATGGCCTGACTGTTTCTCCATTCCACATGCGGTGGCAGACATCTCTTTTCAACCGCCAGTTCTACAATTGGGGAAGATGGAAACCCAGATTCCTTTATCTATGGTATTGTTTCAGAATTATAATTCAGGCACATGTGGGACAATTGCTGGAAATTCTTTTGTATCCTGTGAGTCAAAGGAGTCACCGTTCTGGGACCAACTGCTTACACAATATAGTGCAGCTAAACAGAATAACCTTTTGTTTTAGTCTCAGAAAGCATTTTAGGGGCTTAAGTCATCCTACATTAACAACAGGCATATTTGTTGTCTGGGAGACGTGGGGTGATGAAGAAGTTATCTTAATACATGGTGAACTTTCTGTCTGAGTTTGCCACGTTGGTCTTGGCACAGTTGTTGACCTCTGTAGTTGTAAAGAGTTGCAGGGCTTCAGTTTGCTTTTCATGGGGCAAATTCATGGACCTTGTCCCTTCTCAGCAAAAAGCATTCAAAATTTATCAGTCTGCCACTAATTACATGCTTTGACAGTATTCACAACTGTATTTTAGGTTTAGCATGGGAATGATTTTCGGCATAGCTGCTATGTTTGGTTCTGTTGTTCTCCTTGGAAAGACACTGATGCAGACCCTCTCGCAGATGCTAACTGAGGCTCCCACAGGTCAGAATGATCAGATGCTACAGGTCGTGGTGAGTTTCATTTCCATATGTAGCCATTAAGAATTTAATTTAAAACCAGTATCCCCAGGGAAGGTAACAGCTTTTCATTTATAATTCTCATATTTGTTTTCATAGTTTACTCAAAACATATCTAGGTTGCATTTCCAAGGATAAAACTGTTGTTAAGGAGCAAAAGGACAATATATGTGAACACAGAAGTAGAAGCAGATTTCTGGAAAAAGAGAAATAAAAGGCTGACTTTCTGAATGTGGAGTGGAGATGAGGTTGGACATAGCACCTCTCATGGGATGTTCTTCTCCAGCTTTGGAGCAAATAATATAAAGGGCATTATTTAGCTTTTATGGAAACAAATATATTCCTTTCAATGAATTGAAAGTGACTTCACCAAAGGGGGGAAAAAGGATAAGGATTGACTTATTTGTGATATCTTCATGGCATCAGCATGGAGGAATTTGGAAGATGCACACCTCTCTAGAAGAGAGAGGGGAGCAGCGCTTGAAAATGGATGGGACTGACTCTTGTCCTTCACACATAAGCATCAGTGCTGGCAAGAATGGATTCTTGCCTGATAGAACCTTATTTAGAGGAATAGCAGTAATTCGTAGCCTATAGCTATCTGTAGCCTGATTTTATGCTTAAATACCCTGAAATGTAATCTTTGGGACTTAAATGTTTTTAAGCCTTTTGATAGTATTTTTTTTTTACCTTTTAATAAAGTTATTTTTTTAGGGTAGACTTCTCTTAGTGTGGAAGCTCTATTCTTGCAGAACTACATTAGTTAAATTAGTCCAGGAAGCCAAGCCTCTTGTTTCCCATTACCAGTGTGAATTAGTTTCTTTGAGCATGTGCAAAGTGTTGGGTTTTACATCCGAGTAATTAAACTGTGATTAAGTAAATGAATCACAAGTAATCTAGACTGGTGGCAGCTAAATTGAGAAATAAGTAGAAATAAAAATAAAAAAAATGCCACACTGGGAAGGACAAGGAACCAGGCAGGGCCATTTTTTCCCTTCCTGAAAGTAAGGCTCAGCCCCAGCACAGATATCACCCTAGGAGGGAGGGGCTCTCAGCCTGTATCTGTGTGTAGGTTCTATGGAGGGATGTGTGATTGCAGTTTCCTCTACTTGGGGTACCTTTCAGAGCTTGGAAAAGTCTTTGGACTACAGCTCTTGGAATTCTCCAGTCCACGTGGCCAAGCTCTGGGACCTTTTTATTGTTGGAAATGATGTTCCTGTTAGAGTAAGCGTTCTTTGTGAAGTGGTTTCTAGACAGTTGTACAACAGGGTGCAGAAAGCCCTGTCTTTTGAACCCTTGCTGCTACCCGGTGTCTTGTGTCTTTGGAAACAGGTGCCTGGTGTCAATCTTCCCGTCAGCCAGCTGTCCTATTTCTTCATCTCGATCCTCATCAGTGGTGTCATACATGAAGTCGGCCATGGGGTGGCAGCTATTCGGTAATGCAATCCTGTTACTCCTTCACTTCTTCTTCTTCTTTTTTTAATGACATGAAGACCTTGTTTGGCAGGAAAATTATTACTGGTGAATACGATTGCATATGGATTTAGAGAGAGAGAGAGATTAATTTTACACAATTAATTTTAATAAGGTGATGACGTAATAGAGAACCTAACTTCTGAGATTTGAAATACTTAGTGCTTCTTGATTCCTTGAGTACGACTTTGGGGTGATCAGCATCTGGAAGAAGCCCACTGTTTTCCAACTTCATTGTGCTGAGCTGCTCCCATCCTTTCCCTTTTCTCGATGTACCAACTCAGCTCTGTCCGTCCTTTTCTTCTTCCATTTACTGCATCTGTGCTGTTAATGTGCTGGGGCCATAAAGGGGTGCCATACTGAGTGCCTCTGGAGACCTACCAAGCTGGGCAGAAGCAGCTTCAAACGATTCTCATTTTCCAATTCTGTGCTGTGAAGCAGATAGGACAGGGGCAGAGTAGAAGTTACTTCTTTGGATTATAACTTGCAGAAGTCACCAAACAGCATGACCTTTTCGAGTTGAAGTACAAAAACTAAATTTTCCAAGCTCCAGACAAGGTGTGATTCTGCTGTTGATAAAAGCAATTCTGGCTCTCTGATGTTCTTGTGGCAGCCAACATTAATTGCTAATATCTTGTTTGGTGTCCTTCAGGCCACATCTCTTAACTCCCATGTTCCTGCAGCCCATTATTCTTTTGGCTGTTCCTGTCACATTCCTAGCATCCTATGTACTTCTGCCTTTTCTCCTTTCATGATTGCCTCCATTCCATATATGTGATGTGGAGCAGTGGCATAGAGCTTCAAATGGCATAGAGACCGAATGACGTATTAGGAGGTCCCTGATTTGAATCTCATCATTGCCTTTTTTACTTCTTGGCCTTAGAAACCCTACTCTGTCCTCTCGCCAGCTGCATGGAGGATTAAAATGCTGATTGACCTTATAAGATTCTTGTAATGGCTACAGTTACTTAATGCATGTTAAGCACTCTGTACATTTGGAGTTAAATAAAGTAAATAACAAAGCACAACAGCAAGGATGATGATTCTGATTCTTTGTTTGGCTTATCTTGCTGAACATTTGTTCTTAGTTTAGCTACTGCTTGTTTAAAGATGATACAATATTCTGGGGTGCATTGGATCTAATGACATGTTTGTGAATTTAAGTTGCTTTTTAGATATAAAATTAAATTAGAATTCTAGTTTTGCAAAAACATCTTATTTCCTTCTTCTTTTAGAGAGCAGGTTCGGTTCAACGGCTTTGGAATTTTTATATTTATTGTTTATCCAGGAGCATTTGTTGATCTGTTCACCACCCACTTGCAACTCATTTCTCCAGTCCAGCAGCTAAGAATATTTTGCGCAGGTAAATCAATTGCTGTAGTTATGCTGTGATCTAGTTTGTGTTAAGTATTGTTTTGAATATGTAGCTGTTAACAGATGGAATCTTTTAGTACAAAGACTGATTGGCATTGCATGTAAATTCTTGTACTAGTTCTACTGTATTCCAAAGACAGAGGAAGGGAGCCTTTGGCCCTCTTTTTTGCAGACAGTTTCTTGAGCCTCAGCTAGCATGGCCAGTGGGGATTGTGGGTACTGTAGTGCAAAGCATTTGGAGGATGAAAGTTGCCCAACCCCTTTTTCCTAAGACACAAAATGACCTTTATAGCTATGTAGCTGTCTAGAACCTTTTGGGAATTGATATATTAAAAACACCCAGGTGGAGGATGGACCTTTTCACATATATATACTGGTTTTACAAGTATCATGGTGCCTATGATCCAGAAACATGGGATTTGTGTCTGCCCAGAATCTTTTCAATTGCTTTCAGTGGAATTGTTTGCTTAGTAATTTTGATCTTGAAAATATGGCTTAAGGGAAATGTTGGTCTAAATCTGGCCATTTTGCAGAGACTGGATGGGAGTTGGCTCTTTCTCTGTTCCTATAATTGTGGGTAATCAGTATGACCTCTTGTAGACTTCTTTCTGGCTTCATGTACTCCCAGATCTATATATCATTTTATTTGATTATCAATGTTTCTTCCTTTCACTTGCTTTTTTGAGCATCCTTAGTGATTTCAGTCAGTGCCTTTTGGCTGCAGGTTGATTTACTACAAAAAGAGTATAAACTTTTGCTATGAAAATAGAATTTTTGCTGTTCTCTAAAATAGGAGTATTCAGATTAGAGAATAGAAATTTTAATGATGTTGGTTGAGGGGGAAATTGTGATAGATCTTTCTTTGCAAGTGAAAGGTGGCTTTGCATTTAATAATAACCACATGAAGACTTCAAAAGAAGTGCTAAATGTTTGCATCCCCAGAATACAGTTTCATGTAACCACCTCTGGTGCCTATCTGTCTGATCTGATTGTGTGCCACAAGATGTGTGTATAGGGTGGGAATTGTGGGGATCTCCTGGAATTGCTGGGCTGCATTTTCTTTTAGCCCTACCTAGTATAGTTAGTGATGAAGGATATTGGGAATTGCAGTCCAACATCTGGCGGGCAGCTTGTTTCCCCCATCCCTGCCATAGATCAGCTCTGTGAACATAAACTATAGGATGAACTGCAGGATCTTCATCATCTGATTCAGTCCCACTGCATTACAGATGGAGAGATCCCAAGGTAGCAGTTGTCTGGGTCCCCGAATTCCTTCGGTTTGAGGAGGAAAAGAATCCAGATGTCCTCTTTTCCTTCCTACTTGGCATCTCTTGGTGGGGAAAAGCAGGAAGGAGAGTCAGGCATACTTCCTAGCACCTATGGGCTATGTCTCTTTCCTTGCATTCGTTCAAGGCTGATTTTTAATGTTATGTCCAAGCATTAATTAGTTTTATTGATTTGTTTTTAACAATCTCCATATATCAGGGTCTTTGTGTGGTGTGCAAATAGCCTGTGCTATTAATTCCTCTGCAGTTAATTATGTCTTCACGCTACATGAACAATTGCATCAGCAGTGTTTTATTTTATTATATTTTATTTAAGGGAGAAGGAATGGTTGTGGAGCACAGTCTGTCCTGCTAACTTAAATAAAACAAAAACTGTGTGTTGGGATAGCTTCAGATGGAAAATGGTTCAGTCACCCATTTAATTCAAGCCCTTGTTGTGAATACAGTGGTGCCTCGCACAGCGAGGTTAATCCGTTCTGGATTAACCCTCGCTGTGTGAAAACATTGCTGAATGGGGCAGAAAAGCCCAATCGGCTGATTACTCACCGTTCAGCGATGTTTTGCAATGGCCGGCAGCCATTTTCGCGCCCTCCCCTCGCTTAACGAGGGCGCGAAAACGCTGCGCGCGGCCATTTTGGTGCTTCCAGCTTCCATTTTGTAGCCACCAAACAGCTGATTGGCGGGTCGCAAAGCGAAGGTCAGTAAGCGAACCGCTTACCGACCTTCGCTCTGCGATTTTCGCCCTATGCAGGCATCGGTGTGCGATCGCATTTGCGATTGCAAAACCGGCCTTGTAGAGCGAATTCATCACTCTACGGTGCACTCGTTGTGCGAGGCACCACTGTATTTACTGACGAACAGAAGGATTAGTACTGTGGCTCATTTTATGAGCCCGTTTAGTTTTAAGCCAGATGTGATTTAAACTGTTCCAGGGAGGAGTTTCTTTTCATTATTATTGTTGTTAAGCAAGCTCGTAATGGAAATACAGGTGAATCCTTAGCGACACAGTCTTAAGCAGTCCAGTTTGTTTTACTTTCTTCATGGCAATTCAAACCCTCAATAGGTTTGAAATGAAAGTGATGACTGATGTATCAGGATGATGGAAAAACATATAGTGAAGATCTATCTTCGTGTTTAATCACTCTTGGCTCGTGCAGTAACTTGTTCAGAGAAATGTGACAAAAGACTATGGCTGCAACCAGATGAAATTTTCTATGAAAAAAAAAAGGGTACGCTGTCTTAATTCCTGAGCAGGTATGTTTGCACACAATTACAAGCCAGTTGCACACTGTCCTTCTCTGGAATTCTGGCTTCTCAAAGTGAAGACAGGACAAAGTAGTGAACTGATGCCCACTGCCCAGTCACTCCTGCTGCAAGTAACAAGGGTTGAACAAACCACACACCTTCTGCCCATTGTTTGTTTGCACTGATGTCCAGATCTAGCATGTCCAGATCTTGACGGGGCTGTGCCCCATCAAGGCAGAGAAATGCGTCTAGAACAAACAAATTCTACGAAATTCTGGATGTTCATTTATAGTAAGCTCTTTCGGCTGCAGCAGTTTGATCACACTTACTGGGAAGCAAGCCTCACTGAAACCATTGATGAGTAATAATATTTAACATGTAGTATATAGCAGATTTTGAGAGTTCTGTGTAGTTTGTGTAGACATTATAACACCTTGCTGTGTATTGCATCTCACCCTGACAACAACCTTGCAAGGTACATTCATATTATCATTTCTATATTGTATGTAGATGAAGACTAAACCTAAATTACACAAGTATGCTGAGGGGAAATATGAACCAGTAAATTTCTAGCTCCCACTCTTGGCTACAAGCTCTCAATGAGACACATTTTCCATTTAAAGTATGGATTGAATGTGAAACATCTTTATTTGTGCCGTGTGTAAGGATAGGTTGGTTCTGTGGGTACAGCTGTGGTACACAAATAATATGAAGTATAGAGTCTTAATTGTTAACCTTTACTATTCATTCTGTGCTTTAAAGCTGCCTGAAGACATGTGAATCGCATGATCCCTCTTCAAGAATAACTTAGATAGCTGTATTTATTCATTTAAACATTTACATTGCCATTCAGAGTACTTCTGAACTTTTGTGTACCAAATCTGTTGCTATACCCATGTTTATTCTTTGTGCTGAAGGCCAGATTTGTGCTTAATTCATTATATGTCCTTGATCTAAATACAGTTGGTCCTCCTATCTGCAATAAACACACTGAATCAATGAGAACTTTGTGAGTTAACATTTAAATTCCATTGATTTTATGGATGTTCTCTAGCTGGGATTTAGGTTGTCTGCATTAACGTTCTTTCTTTTAAAGGATGTTTTGCTTAGCATAATTAGAGTAGTTAAGTTACAATTAGAGTAGGCTCATTGAATCAGTGGGGATTGGTGAGTCATCTGCTCCATAAATTCCATTGATTCAGTGGACCTACTCTGGTTGCAACTTGGTATGTTAAGCAACAGGATTTCAGCCATATATTTGGAAGTGTTCTGAATTATAACCCTAATTATGGTTAATGTTTTAATCTTTGAGACCATAAATTTATCTCAGGTCCTGAAACTGTACAGTTTGTTCTTCTCTACTGAATAATTTGTCACTGTACTAGACCAATTCTGTTTAGTTGGCTCTTGCTTGCAGAGATACATTAGTGTTTTGTTTTTCTGGCTTTGCAGGAGTCTGGCATAACTTTGTGCTTGGAATTGCCAGCCTTGTGGTTCTCTTCTTATTGCCAGCTGTTCTTTTTCCATTTTATTACACTGGTGCAGGGGCACTTGTCACTGAAGTAACAGAGGTAAGAGTAATTAATAACCAACTGTTTACAAAGAGTAGCCTATAATCCAGGAGCGTGGACCATGTCGTCCTCCAAATCTTATTGGACTGCGGCTCTTACTATCCTTCATTATTGGCTATGCTGGTGAAGGCTGACGTGACTTGCAGTTCAAAAACATCTGGAGAAGTACATGTTCTTCCACCCTCCTGTGAGCTGCAGAGTCAAATCCTGTGTTTCTTTTCACTAAGCATGCTCCTTATCATATGGGATATTGCTGCTTCAGAAATAGAAACATGAAGTCATGAGACTTGCCAAAATTGTTCATCTGAGTTCCCTCTGATGGTGGTAATTATATTTTCTGATTAGTATGATAGTGTGTGACCTCCTTGTTATAACTATTGGCTATCAATATATTTGGGGACACAGTTCAAAGTGCTGCTGATAACTTCTAAGGCATTAGAGAAGAGCAGACCAACCTATATTCTTCTCGGTAACCCCTCAAAGGGACATTCAAAAGCACAGTTTCAAACAGTTCAGTTTTGGGAACCATCATTTGAAGCCGATTTGTCTGAAACTAACTTTAGATAATGTGACTCATAATTTGTTGGTCGAAATTACATAATAAACCACAGTTGACTGGAAAACTGCTGAACTGTTTCTTGGGCTATATGAGCAGAGCCAGAAACAGATACCTGATGCATGCAGTAGCTTGTTTTGCTTCTTCAGCCCCTTGCCTTGTTAAACTGATTGGCCAAATGTATATGTGTATCCTATAAACAATAGAAATCAGGTACTATTCAAGGCAGAGTGAATTTGAGTTCCTCAACTTAATCTTTTCTTGTTCCAGGACTCTCCTGCCAATGGGCCCCGAGGCCTTTTTGTTGGTGATCTTGTCACCAATCTGGAGGACTGTTCAGTTCATAGTGTGGAGGATTGGAATTCCTGCTTGGGAAAGATTTCTCGAATGCCACAAACAGGCTATTGCATAAAGGCATCAGTACTACAACAATTAAGCTACCCATCTAGAGGTACAGTTGTTTCTACATTGTAGATGCTTATACTTCAGGGTTATTTTAAAAAACAATTTTGACCCTTTAACTAACTGATGAAAAAGCCCCCCCCCAATTAATTAGTCATCAGATTTTTAAAATATGTGTATGTTATTATTTATAAAAGATTTTATTAATTAAGTATGGTAAACCATTACCTTAAAAGAAGCATTTCCTTTTGTGTGACAGATTGTGGAATGCCTCTTCTAAAACTGTATCTGATGTACTCTATGATTAAATTGTTTTTAAAACAAAACATGCTTTTCATTAGAACATGTTTTCTCTTTCATGAAAGTGTACATTGATGTTATAAACTGCTTGGGTAATTGTCTAAAGCGGAGGTGAGAAACATTTTCCAGATAAATTGGGAAAAGCCTTGGGGCTGTAGGCAAAAAGCTTGACAGAAGACTAAAATAAATTGGGCTGTGCCACATGTAATTTTTGCCATTTGGGGCATTTTCCCACCAGATGTGCAAAGCATAGTTTAGTTTTTTGTGTGTCTATTCAGTACTGCAACTCTCTAGGCAGGAAATTGGAGCTCAGTTTCATGCTATAGCATCATGGGCCTTTAGAAAATCATTAATATAGATTAAAACCCAGATAACCATTAATGCATGAGTAATCCAGTCCTATAGATGTGTTTTAGCTTCTGTAACACAGACAGTAGTCATCATTACCCACAGCAGCTGATGCTTGGAAAGTCCTGATTTGGCCTGTGGTAATATCGAATACACAACATTTGTGTGTATTCGATATTACCACAGGCCAAATCAGGACTTTCCCTGATTTTACCTTCTTGGGCTCCCTGTCCTGTTTTCACTTGCTCCTACCTGCTGCCCTCTTAGTTTCTTTTATATCTGCTGCTCTTGGTTGTATTTTAAGTAGGCTGGCTTAACTTGTTATGTTAAGTACATTACACAGGTGGACTCTAACTACACTGGTGCCAACCTTCACTGTAATCATTAAGCAGGTTGAGTGCGGTTTGCTGTGTGTACTTTCCCTTTTAATTACAAAACAGGACTGGGCAGTGCTCCTAGCCAAGCATTGCTGCTTGACATCAAAACATCTATAAAATAATTCATGTCCTGCATGGGTGTAAATGCATAATACATTGTTTAGTATGTTCTTTTACTCTTAGATAATTGCACAGTGTCTACATCTGAAACAACACAATTAGTACACAGGTAGGAAGCTTAACTGCAGTCCTCCTTGTAAAAGTAAAAAGCAGTGGGGGAGAGGGGACCCTCAGTTGTGATTTCTGAAATGTAATGGTAAGTTTAATTTCTTCTCAGGTTTTAAAAGACTTGATGGCACTATTGAGTGCTGTAGCAACAACAGCCTTACAGATATCTGCTTTTCATACAGCAATAATTTGAACAGCCACCTGGTATGTTATTTAATGCTGAATAGCACAAATATGTATGGTTTCAGCATAGACTATAAGTGTTGTTTTGAATATTGGTTTCAAGCTTTAAGATGTGTTTGGATCTGGTGTTAGGCAGACTGCCCTTGTGGCATTTCTGTGCATGCTTTAGAATTTGAAAGAAATAATAAATAAGTTGATTCCAGATATTAAACTCTTAGCTTCATGCTTTTAGTGAGATCCAAGCAGTAGATAGAGAGGAATAAGTGACCATCACCTGTTGGCAAATAGAAGGGGAAGATGTGGAGGCAGTGACAGATTTTACCTTCTTGGGCTCCATGATCACTGCAGATGGTGACAGCTGCCACGAAATTAAAAGACGCCTGCTTCTTGGGAGGAAAGCGCTGAGAAACCTTGACAGCATCTTAAAAAGCAGAGACATCACCTTGCTGACAAAGGTCCACATAGTCAAAGCTATGGTTTTTCCAGTAGCGTATGGAGAGCTGGACCATAAAGAAGGCTGACTGCCGAAGAATTGATGCTTTTGAATTGTGGCACTGGAGGAGACTCTTGAGGGTCCCCTGGACTGCAAGGAGAACAAACCTATCCATTTTGAAGGAAATCAACCCCCGAGTGCTCACTGGAAGGACAGATCCTGAAGCTGAGGCTCCAATACTTTGGCCATCTGATGAGAAAATAAGACTCCCTGGAAAAGACCCTGATGTTGGGAAAGTGTGAAGGCAAGAGGAGAAGAGGACGACAGAGGACGAGATGGTTGGACAGTGTCACTGAAGCTACCAACATGAATTTGACCAAACTCTGGGAGGCAGTGGAAGATAGGAGGGCCTGGTGTGCTCTGGTCCATGGGGTCATGAAGAGTTAGACACGACTTAACAACTAAACAACAACAAAAAATATGGGCTTTTCATCATCTTGAAAACTTTCCATCCTGATATTATGAAGTAGATCCACAGGTTATGAGCAGATTAAACAGGAAGATTTGGGAGTAGGAAGAGAGCGTGGTCTTTTACTTGCCTGTCCTTTCTGTCATTCTTTCAAAAGGGAAAGAGGATGCTAATCTTGATTCTCCTTAATTTGGAAAAAAAAAAGGTAGAAAAGTGAGTAGCCGTGTCAAACAGTTCAGTTTCAAAAGTTTCGCACTTTAAAATTGCTTCAGAACCCAAATGCTGAAAGGCTTCACCATATTAGTCCATTTTGGATCCACTTGCCACACTGTTATGATGAGCTTGACACTATCCACTGGAAAGCAGGACAAGTGGCCAGCTATGTAAGGCCAGTTTGGAAGTCAGGTCCTCTCTCCCTGCCATCTGCATTGGTTGGGGAAGTTGGATACTGCGGTTTGCTGGCCTCAGTTGCCCAAGCAGTCATCCTCCCATTGACTTTTCCCTTCAGGAAAAGGAGGTGGAAGGGGGCTGGTGTCTGTAGTTCTTGGCTCAGCCCCTGGTTATGAAAACATTGATATTATTTTTTAATGTGATACTTAAATGTTACTCAGACATATTAACTCTCTATTGACTGTACCAATCCAGTGTTGAACTTAAATGTACCCTGATGTACTCTTTTTTCAGTAAAGCTATATAACTACACAGGTACCCAGTGTAGTGTAGTGGAGACTGACAGACGAGGATTTTGGAGACCAGATTTCAAATACCTACTTGGCCGTGGCAGCTCATTAGGGGAATGGATACTGCATGTGCATGTCCTTATTAGGCAAATAGAACAGTTTCCTCCATTCTGCTTTTAATTTGGTGAAATGCAGCTTTCTGATACATGATACATTTCTGAAAAGTATATTGTCCATAGACTAATTCAATATTTATTTAAAAATTCATACCCAGTATGCTTGTCTGCCAGCACGGAAAGCTGTTGAGGCCAGTCAGCTTTGCAGAACTAATATGGATTGCCAAAAGGACTTTGTTCCAACTTTGTGTGTGACACCTTCTTTGGAAAACCAGACAAGGTTCATTCGGGTGAAGCATCCTCCTCAGGCTGATATGCTATTTGTTGGTCACCTGTTGCATCTCCAGTACACAGGTGGGTATGCTTTGGAGAAAATATTAACAAAGATAGCATGTGTAAGTAAATGTTCATAGGGTAATTTGTTGGCTGTTTTACTAATTTAACTTCTCATGAACTCAGTTTCTTAATAAAGAAATTATCTCCTTCAGCAGTGCAAAAAATAGTATGATTTGTCTGACTCCTTACTTACGAGGTGGACAATCAGTGCTTTTCAAAACATGTCTTGGACTTCAACTCCCATTATCTGTTACCAGTGGCTGTGCTTACTGAGACTGATGGGACTTGCAGTTTGATAGCATCCTAAGGATGACATATTTCCTATCTCTGCCTTTCAGAAAGTAAAAAGCCTGTTCAGTTTGATTCCTGCAGTGGGAATTAGATAAAGTAGGATGTAGTGTGGCGCTGCGGGCTAAACCGGAGAAGCCTGTGCTGCAGGGTCAGAAGACCAAGCAGTCATAAGATCGAATCCATGCAACGGAGTGAGCGCCCATCGCTTGTCCCAGCTCCCGCCAACCTAGCGGTTCGAAAGCATGTAAATGCAAGTAGATAAATAGGGACCACCTCGGTGGGAAGGTAACAGCGTTCCATGTCTAAGTCACACTGGCCATGTGACCACGGAAGATTGTCTTCGGACAAACACTGGCTCTATGGCTTGGAAACGGGGATGAGGACCGCCCCCTAGAATTGAACACGACTGAACAAAAATTGTCAAGGGGAACCTTTACCTTTAGGATGTAGTGTAAGGACTTATATTCATTTACCTTTTGAACTCAGATATATAATACAAAATTTATGCCCATTCTGTCAATTGAAATCAGTGGGAAGGGTTTGGAGCAGAAAGGGAAGTACAGCTTGGATATGGCAGCCTAGAGCAGAAGTTTCAAGATTTTTTACACTCTAGAGAGATACTGAACTTATTCTATAATCAGATCTTATTCTTTGTCTGAAGGATATTTTAAAAAGTGTCCTACAGGTATGTGTAAACTGCTAATTGGCACTAAGTAAGATTATGAGAAGCAGCACAGCTTCTGAATGTATTGCCACCAGCTACTTAAATAAGAGTGATCTTTGCAACACTATTCCTCCCAACTTCTATAGCTTAGGTAGGTGTGTACAAGGGGGTGCTGATAAGTATTGTGTCTTTCCCAGAAAAAAATTGAGCTAGGAAGCTGTAATTGCCACACTGCAAGCTGTCACTGCCACACTATTCTACATATGCCCCCCCAGGAAGTCAATGCACTTGCGACATCTGTCCTGCAGCTTCTTAAGTCCCTGCAAATAAAATTCTTCTGACTGCTGCTGTAACCACTCATTTGCAGCATTAGTTGCCTCCAGAACACTCCCAAATTGTTGTCCCTTTAGGTGTTTGAGTTTGGGGAACAGGTAATAGTCAGAAGGAGCCAGGTTGGGAGAATAGGGTGGATGGGGCATCACTTGAAAGCCGAAGGAGGTCAGTTTTGCCAGTGTTTCACCTGCAGTGTGTGACGAGGCGTTGTCATGCAACAGGATGACACCTTTGGAGAGCTTTCCTCAACGTTTTTCCTAGAGGCTTTGCCTCAACTTCATCAATAAAGCACAGTAATATTTTGCATTGATGGTTGAAACTTGTTGGAGGTAGTCCACCAGCAGAACTCCCTTCTTATCCCAAAAAACTGTTGCCATTTGCTTCTGCACCGACCTTTGCACTTGGAACTTCTTTGGCCTGAGGGAGCCACTCTGCCTCCATTCCTTAGACTGTTCCTTTGTCTCAGGATCATAACAGTAGATCCATGTCTCATCACCAGTTACCAATTTGCCCAGGAAATCTGACTCATTTCTTGCAAAATGTTCCAAAACAGCCACCAATGACTCCACACATTTGTTCGGTTTGGGGATCCACTTTGCTGCCAGCTTTCTCATTTCCAAGTCATTGTGGATAATGGCAACAACTCTCTCATGTGATATTCTCAGATATAGCAATACTTTTGGCTGATATTCGGTAGTCCTCCATGACCATGTCATGGATGGCTTTCACATTTGCAGGCACAGAGACAGAAACAAGCCTTCCACTGGGTTTTTCACTTTCAACTCCGAAATGGCCAGTTTAAAAATGGCCAGTTTAAAAATTGACAACCCAACGTTTAACTGTTGCATATGAAGGGCCACTGTCACCCATAGTTTGTGACATTTCATCATGGATCTGCTTTGCACCTTTCCCTTGGAGAAACTGGAACTTGATTATGGTCCTATGCTCTTCCACATTGAATTTTTCTGGAGATGCTTCCATGTTCACTTTGGACCTGAACATGAAAGATAAGTTAAAATCATAGGTAGTTGATTTTTTTCACCATTGAATACAGACAAATTGGCCAATGCACCCTGCAATTTATAGCTTCCTAGCTCATTTTTTTCTGGGAAAGGCTAAGTACTTATCAGCAACTCTTTGTATTCTGCCATCTATTTGAATTGGAGTATCTGGGTAAAACTTGATTCAAGAAAATTAACTCTGATTTTGTAGGAAAACAATGTTGCTACTCAGAATTCCTTGAATGCATGTCAAATTAAGATGAACTCTTTTTAACTTTTGCAGCATAATTTCATGCCTAAAATAAATCTCCAGGAGGAGAGTGATTTGTTAGCACTCAGTGATAAGATTCTTTTCTCACTTTCCTCTTCTTAAAACTACACTGCACCCTAGACATTTCTGTCTGATTTTGGGCTGTCTGGGTGGCATAAAACTCTGGCACCATATAACCGTGAGCACTAATGCAGTGAGCAGTAGGAATGGAATCTGTTTCCTGTTGCTCCTGCCTCTCCTCCTGTCATAATCATGTGTGTGGTTGTTCAGAGTAAGAGTATTATCTGTACATTGTATTGTTGGAGACTACAGAAGTCAGACTGTAAAGTAACCACAAGTACATCATGTGTTTTGATCAAATGTTCTCAAAAAATAGAGCTCATTATGACTCCTACTTCAGCAATGAAGAGACATGTTTTAATAGGTCTTAATTCTTGGCAAATAGCGTAGAGAGAGAAAACAGCTGTTATATTTGCCACGAACAAATTGTAACAAATGAGTTTAATGTAAATGTGTTTAAATTCATAAGAAGTCTGCAAAACACTCTTCTTGTTTCAGTGAGCGTGAGCAGTTTTATACCTCGACTCAACTTTCTCAGTATGGACCTGCCTGTGGTCATGGAAACATTTTGCAAGTATCCTTTGCTATTTGAGTGGCTGTTTAGAAAGGAGACAAGAGAGTCTCAGAGGACAGCAACCATTACCCTCTTTTAAATCGCCTGTTTTTGCCTGGCTTGGAGACTGTGCCCTTCAACAGTGCAAAAGCCTTCTGCTTTGTTGAGTGGAAGCTGATGAAGTTAAGGAAACATTGAGATCCAGCAGTGTATTGCTCCCATGCAGTAGTAGGACTCAGGTGGTCCTTTTTCCTGCTAAAATATGTATGGAAACATGCCTTTGACTTACAAGTACTACTTACTGTATTTGTAACTCATTAAAGAGCAAGCTCTGCTATATACAGAAAGGCTATGTCTGACATCGTAAAAGCTGGGAACTGCCAAACAGAGTAGCCTTTACTGTCCACACTACATGGTGCTTATGGCCAACAGATATAACACATTTTAATCCTTCACAAGGAGAATAGCTTTACCAGGGCATAGATTTTGGGCTTCATAAAAAGCAGTAAAATGTTGATTATTTAACTTGTTATTTCTGTCTTCTTACTGATGGGATGAGAAGTGCTTTGGGGATTTTCTACTTCATGTGAGTAAGTACTTAGCTGGCTTTTGGTATTGCACATTTTGACGTGTGTGTGTGTGTGGGGGGGACAACATTTGGTTCTCTTCCGTAGGCTGTAGCATGTCTTGACCTAGTGCTGTCCATAAAGTTGCTTCATCACACTTGGCATATAAGTACAGCATTTCAAACGGCTTCCTCCCACTTTCTACAGATCTTGGAGAAGTTACTTTTTTGGACTACAACTTCCAGAATTTACTGGTCCTGCTGGCAGCAGGGTTCTGGAGATGTTTCAAGTGGTTTTAAGAAGCAACATTTCCAAGCTTTTCAGGGGATGCGAATGACCCCTTCACTTTCCAGCCATACTTTGCATGGAAAGATAAAAGTATATTTTGTCAAAAGTACCTCCTCTTAATTTTTGTTTTGCTACCATTTCAACACTAACATGAACAGTGAATACAATTGATGGTAAGCCAAATGAAATACTAAACTGCCTGTGTTAGAATCTACTACACTTTTTACATGTGTCTAAATGTACAGCCTTGTTCGTATCCTTTAACTAATTTTGACTAGATATCTGATTTCACTCTCTGGAGCACTGGCTGTGATTAATGCAGTGCCTTGCTTTGCTCTGGATGGTCAGTGGATATTGAACTCCTTCCTGGAAGCGACTCTTAGCACAATTATTGTTGAAAAGCAAAACAGAGAACTTGTCGGCTTCCTAATATTGCTTGCTGGCAGCGCACTGTTGGCTGCAAATGTGGCACTCGGACTCTGGGTTGTGACAGCACGATAGCATATGAATTCCTTTTGGCACCTGCTGATTTGTGTTGTAGTATATAGAAAACTGTGAATGGTGTTGCCTTCTAAATTTGTATGTACATGTATATGTAATAGAAAGAGAAACCGCTTGATGCTGATTACACGGCAGAAAGGATGACTATCCTGTGAACTGTAATTAATCCAAGATTCATGAGCTGTGAACTGGAATTTTAAAACTTTTTTAAAAATTTAAATCTTCCTTGAACAAGGAGGGTTAAAAGATGTAGCTTACTTAAATTTCCAAGCAGAATCATTGCTTATCACTGGTGTCTTGTGTACTGGATGGCGGTGGTGATGAATCTCATATACTTTCAATGAGATGAACAGAATTGTCATCTCACTTGCCAGTACATACATTTTCTTGTGTACAGTATATGTTTGGATTCCATAAAGCTGTTCAGATTCTCACTTGGTATTCTGAAACATGGTATCATTTTAGTCAAAAACTTACCCACACATTTTGAAGGGGGGGGGAAACTCAATGAAAATGACATCTGATTGTAACTGCACATATGTTCTTTTCAAGGTGGCCTACCTTTAGTTTTATTATCTGATTTTCTGAAGGCCACAAGCAGTCCTGAAAGCCTCTCCCCTTGCCCCTGCAGCAAGAGGCTGCTTGTTCTTTGAGCCAAGGAGAAGCTTTAGTGAAGAGAAACACTTGGTAAGTTGGACATGGCCCATATGGTATATTTACCTTACCTCTGATGTTGGGGGGGGGGAACGCACCCTTTAATGTCTTCAGTATCCTTTGAGAGGTCTCTGGGAGACATCCTCCCACCCAAATCGGTACATGTAAGAACTTTGTGGACGTCAGCTGTGCACACAGAGAATGTTTCTTTCCCTACAGTTATTCTTATTACATTCTTACTACTGAAATAGTGTTTGAGAAAAACAGACATGTGGTTCATTCTTTGATTGAAAAGAGTACTATATTTTGACTCTTCATGCTGGAACTCAATTATGCATCTTGCATCATTAGGATTGTTATTGTGAATCCTATTTTTTCAGATTTTTCCCCTTTGTATATCTTTGTGCTTTTCATATTTTATATCAATATTTAGCATAGTCCTTATAATTCCTGTGTTGAGATTCTTTTCAGCTACAGACATCTGACTTGCTGAACAATCCCACCCAAACATTGGCCAAAATCCTGTGGTTAATGTAGTAAATTGGTCAAGAGTAGGCCCGTTAAAGAGGTCTGGGGAATCAACTCTTCTATAAGTTCCATTGATTCAAGTGGGTCTAACTGTGATTTATTGTGCTAAAGTAGAATAAGTGGAAGTTATGGAGGAATTGATTGACTAAATCACCATGGATTAATGGGTCTACTCTGGAGCAGCTAACTACACTAAGCAACAGGATTTTGGCAATTGTTTGTTATATCATAATGCTAAGATGCTTTTTTAATGTTCTCCTCGATGTGGCGATGGTTGATCGGATGACCTGCATCTGCTGTTTGCCAAAACATATGGAAGCTGTTAGTGGGTAGAGGAATGTAAGTTCTAGCACCTCACTCCCTGGCCTTGTGTTGAGCAGTAAGTTGTGCTTTCCAGGAACCCCAGCTGCAGCAACCAATTTGTTTGCGTTCAACTAAATGTTAGCAGAGCATCCCTTCACACTTGCCTGTTCAGCACAGCTAATGAGTACAAATACCTAATGAGCGAGGCCAGTGTGCACAGTTCTATTCCTCTACTTACTTACAGAACTCTGAAAAGGCCTCACTTTGATACGTTCATGAGAAAAATGCTGGGCTTCCATTTTGTCCTTCAAAGAAGTCAGTGGTTCCCAACCTTGGGTCCCCAGATGCTCTTGGACAACAAGTTCCAGAAATCCTGGCGAGCACAGTTAGTGGCGAAGGCTTCTGGGAGTTTTAGTCCAAGAACATCTGGGGACCGAAGGCTGGGATTCCAAGATTTTTGCAGTAGCCTTTCTTTCTCTTTCAGAATTGTGAAAAAAATTTCCATTGCTTATATGGGAAGCAATAGGTAGCCCTCTTGGTGAGATAATCTGGGCTGCATCCAAAGTATGACCACTCTCTTATTGCTTAAAAAAAAATATGAATTTGACACGATAGGCACTCAGTATTCTTAAAATCTTGTTATCTGATTTTTACTTGCAATGAAAAATATTTGTTTCAGGAAGATGACGGTCAAACTTTTCTGTCTAGACAAACCATTGTATGATATGCTGTATCGATTTAAGACATAAAGGGTATGCTGAAGTCTCTATGTTGAAAGCAGAGTATTATTTCTAAAATTACTTAAGGTGTGCCCTTATAATTCATGCTTCATTGTAAAAATTTGTATCTGATGGAAATGCACTGTTTGATATTCAGACAGGCAGTACCTAATTTATGATGAAATCCTAAGCACAATTGAGAGTAAACTCTACTGAATTCATTGGGTCTTTTTCCTAAGAATACATGCTTAGTCTTTCACTGCACAATTGGTCATATAGAGTTAACATTTTTATTTCTATGGAATGACCTGCTTGTGATTCATGTAAAGATAAAATTGAATGTTTTCCCTGTACTAGGTTACAAAATAAACATTAGTTGAAACTCCTTTCCTACAAATGTTATACAGTTGTTTTGCAGAAATTTCCCTTGCCTGTCTTTGGACCTTAGCTTTAATGTTGGATGGATGGACTTTAGTACTTCCAACAGCCTGATTACCCAGACTATGGTCTAACAATGTATAAGAAATACTTTTAGTAGATTGAAATGTGTCCCAGTCCGATTTAGACAAATTAACTGATCAGTTCAGCCACAGGAACAGATTGTTTGCTTTACCCTGTGAATAAGAGGGTAGGATGGGAATAACATTTTTCAGAAAATTATTCACCCTGAGTTGCATCTTAGAATCTCTGCAACCCGTGTGCCGTCTACTCAGCAAAGAGGAACTTGCTGATAATCACAGGGATAGCAGATAAGCACAATTCACTGGTCCAATCCATAAAAACAAAGCTATGCCATTCTGAGCTACATGCTACTTGAAGTAAAAACAAACGAAAAGAACAACAAAACACTGGGACAGTTGATAGTCACAGGAGATTTATTGTAATTCTTGATACTACTGTACAGATTGGTCTTTCAATTGAATTATGAAAGACCATTGAACTGAATGGTGCTTTTTTTCTTGAATAGACTTGTACAGAACTGTCCTGTAAATAGCAAACCAAGATACAGTGGTGCCTCACTTAGCGATGTTAATCCGTTCCGGAAAAAACATCACTAAGTGATTTAATTGCTAAGCAATATTAAAAAGCCCATAGGAAAGTATTAAAACGTGTTTAATATGTTCCTATGGGCTAAAAAGTTACCTTAAAGTGAAATTACTCCATAGCGGTGGCCATTTTGGGTGCCTCTAAAGCGAGGCAAAACAGCAGCAGCCATTTTGTTTTTGCGGCGGCCATTTTGGAACCGCCGATCAGCTGTTTAAAAAAGTTCGCTTTGCCATGATCGCTTCCCCGCAATCATCGCAAAGCGAATTTTAGCCATAGGGGACATCGCTAAGCGATTGCTCCAGCAATGGCCAAAAGTCCATCGCAAAGTGATTTCATCACTCAACGGAGCGATCATTAAGCAAGGCACCACTGTATTAGAGGCACATAGGTGGTGCCTTAAAAATCCAGTAACTTAAATTTATCAAAGCACCTAAAATGTTTCAACAGATTTAGTTATGCACTCAGATTAGTACTGCTAACCATGTGAATAAACATCCATTTAGTACTTGCCAGGTATAATTATAGAAAGTTTACTGCTGATTCACTATATTTATTCAACAAAGCTGGTATGAAGTGGGTTTTGGCCATTTTTAAGGTGCAGAAGTTTCCTTTGTAGGAGTTCTTTCTCAGTGGAGGCTGATATATTAACCTAAGAATTTTCATTTACTCTAGTCATTTTAAAATATAATTTCCAAGACATATACCCTATACTGGTGTAAGATATGATTAATTCATTTAGATGATAGAGTTTTTGCTCACTTGTTTGGGTTAGACAGAGAAGGTCAAAGAACTAAATGAAAAATTATGTTTTTTTTAAAGGACACTGCAATAAATTCAGACAAAATAAAAAAAGAGATGTCCATTTTCATTTGCTGTTTGTGAGGGAACTTCTCCTTTTCAAAAAACCCAAGTGATGAATGTTTTCTTTTTGACTCATAACCATTTTTTCAGACAAAGGATATTTTGAATTGGTATCTTTGACTTCTTTAACAATCTCAAATATTTGACCTTGGAGCTCACATGAAAGAAACTGTGTCCGCTGCTGATAGAAAGTAATTGTTCTGTGGCCCCAAGCAGTAACTAGCTATCCAAAGGAGTTTCAATAATTAACTAGTTTCACTATGCGGTTGACATACTTTGAATAATGCAGGATTTAAAACTGCTTTTCCAGTTATTGCACTGTCTGCTGCTATATTTATCACTAAGCTGAGGAGTAGGAAAGAATGGGAAGGAATCATACTGCAGTGAAATCTGTATGAAACAGATGCTTAAACTGAAATTGAACTATATGTAAATTCTAAGAACATTAACTGTGAAACCTTATCTCTGAACTGCGTCTTTGGTCATGTTTACATCACAATCTTATGTTTACTCAAAAGTCACTCCCTGTGGATCCGATGGAGTTAAGAGTTTATATGACAGCAGCTTTGAAAATATTCATTTCCCACTAGGAGACAAGTTTTGACAAAGATATTTTAGTAGATATTTAGTATAAATCATAGCTGTGTGGTTCTGTGCCAGTTTTGGAATGGGTTAACAAGAACATGACCTTTCCCAACATGCTGCAGAAAACCATTTTTGTTGAAGAGAATGGAAAAATATTATATATTTTGAAGAACAGAATGTTGTTTAGTCACGTCTGACTCTTTGTGACCCCACAGACCAGAGCACGCCAGGCCCTCCTGTCTTCCATTGCCTCCCGGAGTTAGGCCAAATTTCATGTTGGTAGCTTCCATGACACTGTCCAACCATCTCATCCTCTGTCGTCCCCTTCTCCTCTTTTCTTCCCACTTTCCCAACATCAGGGTCTTTTCCAGGGAGCCTTGTCTTCTCATGAGATGGCCAAAGTACTGGAGCCTCAGCTTCAGGATCTGTCCTTCCAGTGAGCACTCAGGGTTGATTTCCTTCAGAATGGATAGGTTTGTTCTCCTTGCAGTCCAGGGGACTCTCAAGAGCTCCTCCAGCACCACAATTCAAAAGCATCAATTCTTTGGCGGTCAGCCTTCTTTATGGTCCAGCTCTCCCTTCCATGCATCACTACAGAAAAAACCATAGCTTTGACTATTCGGACTTTTGTCGGCAAGGTGATGTCTCTGCTTTTTAAGATCCTGTCAAGGTTTGTCATCGCTTTACTCCCAAGAAGCAGGCATCTTTTAATTTTGTGGCTGCTGTCACCATCTGCAGTGATCACAGAGCCCGCGAAAGTAAAATCTGTCACTGCCTCCGTATCTTCCCCTTCTATTTGCCAGGAGGTGATGGGACCAGTAGCCATGATCTTGGTTTATTTGTTATGTTGAGCTTCATACAATTTTTGCATTCTCCTCTTTCACCCTCATTAAGAGGTTTTTACATTCCTCCTCACTTTCTGGCATCAGAGTGGTATCATCTGCATATCGGAGGTTATTGATATTTCTTCTGGGAGTCTTAATTCTGACTTGGGATTCCTCCAGTCCGACCTTTCACATGATGTATTCTGGATATAAATTAAATAAGCAGGGAGACAATATACAGCTTTGTCATACTCCTTTCCCAATTTTGAACCAATCAATTGTTCCATATCCAGTTCTAATTGTTGCTTCCTGTCCCACATATAGGTTTCTCAACAGATAGATAAGGTGGTCAGCCACTCCCATTTCTTTAAGAACTTGCCATAGTTTGCTGTGGTCCACAAAGTCAAAGGCTTTTGCATAGTCAATGAAACAGAAGTAGATGTTTTTCTGGAACTCTCTGACTTTCTCCATAATCCAGTGCATGTTAGCAATTTGGTCTCTACAGTGGGGTCTTGACTTGAGAACTTAATCCGTATTGGAAGGCGGTTCTCAAGTCAAAAAGTCTGTAAGTCAAGTCTCCATTGACCTACAGTGCATTGAAAACCGATTAATCCCGTAACAGGCCATTTTTGTTCCATTCTATTTTTTTTCTGGTCTGTAAGTCAGATCTCAGTCTGCAAGTCAAACCTAAATTTTGCGGCCAGAGAAGTCTGTGACTCAAAAAGTCTGTAAGTCAAGCCGTCTGTAAGTCAAGGGTCCACTGTAGTTCCTCTGCCCCTTCGAAATCCAGCTTTTACTTCTGGGAGTTCTCGGTCCACATACGTACTGCTGAAGCCTGCCTTGGAGGATTTTGAGCATAAACTTGCTAGCGTGTGAAATGAATGCAATTGTATGGTAGTTGGAGCATTCTTTGGCAATGCCCTTCTTTGCGATTGGGATGTAAACTGACCTTTTCCAGTCCTCTGGCCACTGTTGAGTTTTCCAAACTTGCTGGCATTTTGAATGTAGCACTTTAACAGCGTCATCTTTTAAGATTTTAAATAGTTCCACTGGAATGCCATCACCTCTACTGGCCTTGTTGTTAGCCATGCTTTCTAAGGCCAACTTGACTTCACTTTCCCGGATGTCTGGCTCAAGGTCAGCAACCACACCATTTGGGTTGTCCGGGATATCTAAATCTTTCTGGTATAATTCCTCTGTGTATTCTTGCCACCTCTT